AATATTCAAGTTTATTTTCGCGAATGTTCGGAAAAATAGAGCTGGTCTTTTAATTAATTTACCATCGGCTCCGCAATTTCCGAAAGAAAACAAACATTCCCTGATCAAGCTAGATCTAGATCTAAACCTAGAGCTGAGCATTTTGTTAAGATTCCCACGTTTAATTCTGATGTGCGTCTTTCAAAGCCTCAGGCATGTTTTGCTTTGATCTCTAATAGACTCTAACCCTAACCCAGAAAAACGTACAGGTATCGGAATTAAATGTGGGAATCTAAACAATCGCTCAAGCTAGAGCCTACTAGATCTAGATTTCAAGATCTAATCTAGATCTAGAACTAAATCTAATCTAGAATTCTAGATCAGTAGACTCTATGATACTCTATGATACTCTATCCAAAAATGACAAGGCAAGGCTCCCTCATACTCATCATATATCATCAAGAATCAATGACCATCACGTATTTGGTAGTGGTAGACCCTAGAGTCTAGATCTTGATCCAGATTATCTTGATTCTAGATCAAGATATCTATATAATATAGAGATCTAGACCTCTAGATCTAGATCTAATCTAGAATTCTAGATCTAGACCTAGCCACTCTGCATTTTGTAGCGGGAAATTGCGTCGCAACTGCAGAATGCACCCGTTAATGTTAGGCCTATATGTTGAGACTGAGACGTCTCGACTCTCTTCCACTTCCATCAAGTTCAGCCACTCAAACTTACTTTTGTTCTCCAAAGGCTTTGCAGTTGCTGTGGACGTGGCTGTGACTGTGGTATTTTTTTACTTTCCCTCCCGTCTCACACTCAGCTACCAGTTGTCTATTTTCTACTAACTATTGATACGCTGAACACGAATGTCAACTTCATTTCCAGTCGCAAATTAATAGTTTTTGAAATATTTGATTGTTTTTAACCGAGATAAACATGCTTTGGACCAATCGGGGGCTTCCAGGGGTGCCTGCCCCACTGGGGTAAAAGAAAATCTGGGGGGTTACAGGGGGGCATGTGTTTTTACCCATAATTTCATATTTTACAGTTAGATTTGAAATTGTCTTGAAAATAATTGATTTGCGACAGTTTTAGTGGCTCAGTTTATGTGTGATCTGCAGCAAACAGTACAGCAGTTTGACCGCTGAAACAGTGCATCTGTGTGCGGGAGTGAAAGTAAAAATTTACCGTGGCTGTCTCCGATCATTAGAATATATCAAATCGGGTATGAAGTTCCCTGACTAAATTCAAGTTGCTGAACATAAAGATCTAAATCTAAATCTAGGTTTTCCCCCGAGACATCCAACTTTGTTCAATGATGTCGGTCGGTTCATTTTTAGTTTAGTCAAGTTTAGTGTTATTATTTGACGTGCTCTCTAACAGTAGAAAATCATATTTTATGAAGGAGAGGCTCCGTGCACAAAATGGGTGAGACCAATGATTATAAATATCGTGACCAAAGTCAGGCTAGCAAAAAAAAAACTTTTGTTTGTTTGTATTTGTATTTGTTTTTTACGTGTTTGGAGCGACAAAATGATCTCGAATCTTGATATAATTCCTGATGAAAACTTTAGATGATTTTAACAAAAAATCCGGTAGGCCTACTAGTAAAGCTGCCCTTCTCCTTCTTTTTTGGGGGGCTGCCCAGTTTGTCACAGGCCCAGTTTGTCACAATTTCATTTAAGTAATTGAGTATTGATGACGGTCATAATTACAGCACTTTAACACTACATTGTAGTTGTAAGTTAGGTTTTTTATTCTCCACCTTCAAATTGGCAGTGTAGAGACAGTCCCTCTAAAATGTTAATTCAGCTTGAGTTGTTCAATATTTATTCTTCCTTTTTGTATGCAAATTTCTCTGTAAAATTTCAACAATGAATGTTCTTTCGTTAACAACAATTGAAAAATAAAATTCAGTTCATAAAATCAATCAATCATTCATTTACTCTTTTTGAGAGTGTCAGTGATAACTTCCATCATGCCAGACACAGTCGAGGCTGGCGACAAAGTGGCATGCTTCCCTCTTTTGTGTGTCAGTGTCAGGTTCTCCTTGTCCCTCCCACTTCAACGCAATATTCTCTCAAGTTCATTATTATTAAATCTTATGCCCAGTATTTAGTTCCGTTTTGATTTTCCTAAACAATATCCAGAAGAAAAATAAAAGAAAAAGAATGCAGTGCAGATGTATTTGCTTCAATGGTTGTAGGAGGAAAGATAATTAGAGAAATGTGGTTCCTGACACAGGTTGTATGAATTATGCAACATCTATAAAAGACCAGGTAACAGTGAAAAAGATTACATGAAGAGACAACAGATTGGTTCAAAGTAAGCAAAGATATAAAAGATAGGGGTCCAACCTCTCGCCATATTGATACAATATTATGTGCTTAACCCTTTGAGCACTGCCTCCAAGAGCCTACCATACATGCACACCTGAGTTCCTTTGGATATATAAAAACTATACGCTCTGGTGTGCATTCAGTGGACATAAGGGTAAAGGTTGTTACACTCAAGCATGCACTTGAGTTCATCAGTCTAAAACACTAAAGATCATAGATCATCATAACAACACAGTTTTGGTAACCTCTACATATTATATCCAGAATTGAGATGTATGCAAAAGACGGGCCTTCTTTCAACAACCCCAGAGGGACTAGAACAGATCGAGCTGGGAAAACTAAGCAAACCCCCCCACCCCCTCAAACCATAAGCAGGAAATGAATGAAACATAGCTATTGAACGTGAAACTAATGAGAAGTAGCCTACTATAATTATTAAAAAATCAGGTGCCAGTTTAGTTGCTGGTCTATTGTGATATGGTGGTTAACCGTAAGTCCTGTCCGATAGACAACAGTCTACCGCATGGCATAAGTCAGGGGGGGACAATTAGATCAAACATGGTGGCATTTACAATTGCGGTGTGTCGGTTGGTGGAATGCTTTATTTAGTGGTGTTGTTTAGATCAAACAATTTTGTATTGGTAAAAAATTAAATATTATTAACAAGTAAATTAAGAAGCACGTAAAGAGACGGTATGATGTCCACGACCAGGCTATGGATATATTTATAACAAAGCATTCTGTAGTGATAACGATTATGATTGACAAGTAAGTTGCGACAGCAAGTGACGAGACATTGATGGCCAAGCACTGAATGCATTTAGATCAGGAATGGAAGGTTAGATCAAAGGCGGAGATGTTTTTGCAAATGAGACATTTATCTCATATTTCATTTTGATTGGTCGGACTAAACTTTCCTTCAAAATGTATTGAGAATGAGAGACTCAAGGTTTCATTCACTTGCATTTTCAAACCCAAAAGATGTATCAAAGAGAATTTTAGCACACCGTCGTTTCTACAGCAGAAGCAGAAACTTCTGAGGCTAACATTTTTAATGCAGCCAAAGGCAGTCCCAAGCATGTATAAATGCAGAGGGAAAATGTAAACAACAACAACAAAGAAATAAAACAACATTTTCAATACGGCCAATGATAGTCCCAAGGTATTATAAATGTAAATTGATCCTTGCCACAAAATCATATATCATTAACTCTGTGCGTTTCAGGCTAACACCAAAGTTGCAGGGGTTAGCTTCATGTACATGCATATCAAAATTGGGTCATTTTGATAACAAATTGCAGCTATGAGATATACAGAGTAATTAATAGTAACAGCCTTTTGAGCAGAGTACCAAGAAAAAAGCAATCACATTTCACAGTCACAGGAATAAGACAGTCTAGCATTAAGTTTTCCATTTTGAGCTTTATTTACCAAAAGCCAATAAGATAATGGCCACACTGACGCTGGAAGCAGAAGAGGAAATTAAAATCACATAAAAAAGAAAAGGAGAGAGCAGATGACACAAGAGCATCCATCAACCCTTTGCTGGTCCTCAGTCTAAAACAACATGGGTCAAAAAGTTTCACACAGTAAGTTTGTTTTTGTAGAGGTTTTACGGCGCTCGCAACTGCATTAGGTCATATGAGCACCAAGGGGTGGATGTCATCAGAGAAATCCGTACAGGGAATTAGACTTACTCTGCTCACCTCTCTAGTTTCAACAGCACAAAGTCTTATTTGTTTTGTTTTAGTAGAGGTTTTACGGCGCTCGCAACTGCATATAAGGTCATATGAGCGCCAGAAGATTAGAGTAGTTACAAGAGAGTAATAAACATAAAAAAGAAGGAGGGGAGATAAGGACGATAGATGTTTGATAGGAAAGAAGAAGCAAACCACACCAGAGCACCCGCCAACCACCCACGCACAAAGTCTGCTTCGACTATCAAGCCACCCCCAAACATACAGAAGAAGTAGAGGAAAAATGACGATAGTAAGGATTAGGAAAGAAACAGCAACAGTTCCCTGTTGCAGTTCAGGCACAGTTGTGAGCAGGACATTAATGAATCAGCCCATTTACAATTACAATTCTACTGTGCATAAAAACTTGAGATGTAAATGACCCCCACCCCCCCCACCCCCTGCACAGTAAGGATGGCGAATGGCATACCAAAGGGAGAGAAAAAATATATGTTTCACACAAGTATTTCATTTTAGTTTTTGTTTTAGTAAGTTTTATGGCACTCTCAACACAATTAGGTCATATAAGTGCCGACGATTACATGTGTTACAAGAGAATAACAAACATAAAAATGAAGAAGTAAAGGTAAGAATGACAGATGGGAAAGAAGGAACAAACCACACCACAGTGCCCGCCAACCATCCACTACCTCAGAATGACAAAGTTGTATCTGCTCAGTACCAAGTTTTGAGAAATTTGACACAAAAAAGTTTGAGTTTCACATCATGTCAAGTTTTTTCTAATGTAATTCTTTGAATTTCTTGACAACCACTGTGAATAATCTTACGATTTTGATAGGGCAGAAAGAATATTTGGTTTCTCATCTCATGGTCTTAATGACTCAAAATGGCCAAAAATGTGAGATAGAACTTTGCAATTCTAATGTAGCAGCATGTAGAAAAAAACAAAACAAAAAAGAAATTAACAAGACTTACAATATCTTCTTGGACTTGGACTTTTGATCTGCTATCCTTTGACCATCAGCACTATTAGAATGAAGAGGCTCCTGCTGTTTTCCTTGTTTCTTTAAAACTTTGACCTTGTTAGGAGCTTTTGTTTGATCAGGATCATCATCAGAATCACTAAAATGATTATGTTTTTTTCGTTTTTTGAAAAGTCTGGACTTCCGCGGCTTCTTTCGAGGTCTTCTCATTTGACCATCAGAACTGTCAGAATCCTCTAACTGCTGTTGTCTTTCTCGCTTCTTTAATACCTTGTCTTGCTCCTGATAAAAGAACAACGTTGTAGAGCCTACAGTATAAGTTTTAGTTTTAGTAAAAGTTTTACGGCACTTGCAACACAATAGGTCATATAAGTCCCGAAGATAAGAGGGGTTACAAGAGAGTAACAAACACAAAAAAGAAGGAGGGGAGATAAGGATGATAGACGTTGGATAGGAAAGAAGAAGCGAACCACACCAGAGCACCCGCCAACCTCCCACAAGTATTAGTTTATGGTCTTGCACTCCTGCAAACCAGATACTCATACAATTTCATGTCATACGAATACCCCTCCCCCCAAAAATAAGCAAACAGACAAACCCAACATTAAAAGCTCATAACAGGACCCAAAGTGAGATGGTCTTCAAAGACAATGTCTTCAAAGACAATCAGAGATGTAAAAATGTAAGACATCTGAGAAAAAATTATTTTTCAAACTGTCATGCTAAAAGTAAGAAAAAAAAAGAGCAACTAAGTTATCCTTTGTACCCCAGGGGTTGTATTCTTCACATTTTAGAATATTTCTAATGCAAAAATCTCTTTGAAACTTTCAGTATTTCTCAAAAAATCATTTTGACAGACTGCTATGCAAAGTGTACAGATTAACGAGTAAATTTCCTAATTGGAAAGTGGGAGCACATAGTTCCCCACGTCGTATAGGTACGATAGTAAAACACAAAGTACGGATAGGGTTTTATAAAAAAGAACCACAGAAAATTACCTTAAATAGTTTATATCTGAGCCCATCTTGCATTCTCTGTGAAAAAATATAAAATGTGATAAGATTTATTTAATGGAGAACAGCAAAACAAATCATTATGCCAATTAGATTTAAAAACTACAAAATAGTTTTACTGAGACAAAATATACACAAAAGGACGGGAAAAATCTGAAAAGAAAGAAATATTGAACTTCTAAAAACTAAATGGAGACAGTTAATATCATTTTTGCAAAATGAGTAGATCTTAATAACAAAATCAAAATGGCAAAAGGGAACACTCATATGTGTTCCTGAAGATAATTATATATGCATAGGAAACTATCAAATTGGATGAAACCCATTTTCACAAGACAAAGACAATCAAAGCATAATGTATGGGGACCATCATTAAAATATGAGCACAGCGCAAGTGCCTTTTTCAGTCTTTCCATGAGAAACAACACAGATGCAAAATGACCTAATTTGTATAAGTCTTTAGAGGATCAGCTGTAGACCATAACTTTATGTAATAAATAAAACGTCAAAGATTTTGGGAAATGCTGTGTTCATTGTATATACTTTTGTTTCATCATTAAGATGGTGCCTTCCACTAGGCTTAAGTACTAAAAGCACACCAATTTGACACTTCAAGGGTACTCCAATCAATTCTGGTATCTCATAGAAAACATTTCTGTTGTAAATCAATATGCTTCCATAAAGTCAAAGGCAATGAGTGTATGGTTTACTTGGGTCACCTTGTATGCCATTGGACACCATTTTTTCTTTCGAAGCGTTTCGGACCTCCCAATGTAACAGAAAAAATGAAAACCCTATAGTATCTCAAAGTAATCATAAAAGTATTTTAATTGTGATGATACTAGCTAGTCCAACCCGTACTTCATCGTGAAATTATTAAAGGAGTTTTAAAACTGATCAACTCTCCCATACAAGTGTTGTTCCAAATTATCTTCTAAAACTCTAAGCTAGTATTTAAGTTCAAAAAGCATAAAAACTTAACTCTGAAAAAAATTAAGCTAATAAATTTTCAAGCCAACCTTTAGAAAATGGTAAAACAACTGATGATGTTTAACTCATATTTTCAGTTTGAATGAAAGTGCAGAGTGAGAGGCTATAGGGAACTAAAAGAGAAAATTATCAAAAGGCAGAATTCTTACCCTCAGCCAAGGAGGTAACAAATGTGGAAGCTGATCTCTTGGAGGACAAGCGTAAAATTCGTCAACTCTTGGTTTCGGGAAGGAAGGAGGCAACCTGCCTTTCTGTTTCACATACTGTCGACAAGAAAGATGCATTTTTTGCCTTCAGTTCAACACACTCTAAAAATGTTTCTGATTAAGACAACAAAAAGAGCACATAATACCAATAACAACTTGGGCAGAACTAACACAGAAAGCTCACCACTGTGTTTGCCCTGCAGACACTTGTATGTAACAGCCCAGTGTCTATTCGTTCAATGTTCTGGGTAATGAGATCTCCAGCAGTGGCTTCTTTCACCCCTCCCCAAATTAACTCCTTCATTGCCGGGGGTGTGCGTTCCTACTGTCAGCACTGGTTTTCAGTGATGTGGGTTAGCCAGGACAGGAGTCTCATGTCTCAGTATTAGTGGACTCGCTGTCTAGATCTAGCCCACTCATGACATTTTTCAGACCCCAGGTCTTCGATAATGTGACTTTCCTCGTTTTCCTCATTCCTTATAATCTCTATCTCACTCATGGTTTAAACAAATTTGCAGATCTGAATCAAAAGGTAAAATTTTCTGCCTTTTTAAAGTCAATTAGGCGTTAGCGTTTTGCGAGAACATGTGGTTGTCCACAAAACTAGACCTAAGTTTATTGACTGCTTGCAGCCTAGCAGTAAAATGATACTAGCAAATTTGGTGCCCAACAAGCATTTTTTTATTCCTGAATATGAATCCAGGCTGTTCTTGAGGCTAAATCTCTTTTAGTCTTAGTAGAGGTTTTTCGGAGCTCACAACTGCATAAGGTCATATGAGAGCCAAGGGGTGGATGTCAACAGAGAAGTCCTTACAGGGAATCGGGCTTACTCTGCTCACCTCTCTAGCTTCAACAGCACAAAGTCTGTTTCGACTATCAAGGCGCTCTGAAAATAGCGGGTCACAAGAGTGTGACAAACATACAAAAGAAGTAGAGGAAAAATGACGATAGTAAAGATAAAGAAAGAAAAAAGCAGCAGTTTCCTGTTACAATTCAGGTACAGTTATGAGCATAATATTGATGAATCAGCCCATTTATAATTTACAAATCTACTGTGCATAAGAACATATTAATGTCCCCCCTTTGGGAACAGCCAAAAGACACTTCAGTCAGTAGCACCGCCCCGGGGGGTTGCTAAATCTCTTTTTAAGTAGAGGTTTTACGGCACTCGCAACTGCATAAGGTCATATGAGCGCCAGAAGGTTAGAGGTGCTACATGAGAGTAACAAACATAAAAAAGAAAAAGAGGAGAAAAGGACAATAGATGTTTGATAGGAAAAAAGAAGCAAACCACACCAGCGCACCCACCAATCACCCACTGCTAAATCTCTATACAGAAGAATTAGAGCCAGATGATTAGCATGACGTACATGTTATGTCTTGCACACAACCAGGAATGGCAAATTTTGCAAACTTCCATGACGTCCATGGTATAGGCAAGGCTAAAAATTACACACTTTCTCGACGTACAAAGTAGGCCTACATCAAAAAGCAACAAAGGGGTTAAACAACACTTTGGATGGAGAGACCATTTTGTTATATTTCTGTCCTCCGCAACAAGGTACAGGGCTCAACAGGACAAGCTTGATGGCTGCTGGACTGACATCAACATCAAAACACTTTAGAGAATAACTTGTAACCTCTCCCGCCTACGACAGCATAGAATTAAGAAAAAAAGTACAAGTCACGGGGCAACTTATGGGACACAGCTGGCAGGAGGTGGAGAAGATTGGCTAGAAAAGAGAGATAGATTGAGTGCACTTCTTGACGGCCAATACTCAATACCAGAGTGAAAGAGGCAAATGAATCAAGATGGCATTTGTCATTACAACAATACAACAAAAACTACAACAACAGTACCCTACCTTGATGACATTTTGTTCCTGCTTGCAGTGACACATGCGATAGATGCGGTGTTGTACCTGTTTGCCATCTTTACCACGGAGTAACAGCTCAGCAATGAGATCAACTGTATTGGCATCCTGGCAGTTCCGAAACTCCAACAAGCCCAGGGCGATGAGACTACAATAGATGTCAGGAATATTTTGTTGCATGGTTAGAAACAAATCAAGCCCTCCAACAACAAAAGGTTAAAGTGGAGGAATAATTCACAGACCACAGTAGTTTTGTCCTGCTAAATGGCAGAGTGTTTTTAGTTTTAGTAAGGTTTTACGCCACTCGCAACTGCAAGGTCATATGTGCGCCAAGGGGTGGATGTCAAAAGAGAAGTCCAAATGGGGAATCAGCCTTACTCTGCTCACCTCTCTAGCCTCAACAGCACAGTCTGCTTCGACTTTCGAGGCACTCCGGAAATAGAAGTTCACAAGAGAGTGACAAACATACAAAAGAAGTAGAGGAAAAAATGATGATAGTAAGAAAGAGTAAAGAAAAAGCAGCAGTTCCCCCTATGTCGTTCTAGTACAGTATGAGCATGACATTGATAAATCAGCCCTTTACAATTCTATTGTGCACAATAACATGTTAATATCCCCCCTTTGGGAATGGCCTATAGACACTTCAGTCAGTAGCACTTCCCGCGGGGGGGGGGGGAGGTGACAGAGTGTGTTCCACTTAGGGTCCCTTTTTATAGCCTACATGAGAGAGGGTATTCACACTAAGCCTAGGACATGTTAAGTAAATTGTCCAAGAGAACACAACAACTGCATGTCATCGGGACTGTGCAAAAGCAGGATTATAAGCAAAAAACAGAAATGAATTAAATTGATCTAAAATGGCATAATCCTGAAACTAGCATTTCATTTGGTCATTTAGTCTTTTCTAAAGTTACAGGCTATATAAATATTAATATCAAGTAAAGCTAAAGAAAGGAATGTTGAAAGAGTAGAAAGCAGGGAGGGGCACAAAGACATTATCAACTTTAGAAATCATATATTTTTAAAATAAGTCACTATGCTCGCTCTTGAAGTAAGTGCTCGACTAAACAGACCTAAGTTATGGTGGTGAAATAGTTAAAAGCATCAGGTGTCACCTGGCCAAAATATAAGACTCATATGGCTGTCATTTCTGCTAAGTATTTAGACAAGATTCCCTTTCGCTTTGATAGTTGCTTCCAACTTTTGCAGAAGGGGGAATCTAAAATGGACTTTGTGGGAAAAAGAAGAGCTGAAGTAAGTGCAATTAAAGAATTCTTTAAAACCAAAAAAAAAACCCCAATAAACCCCCCCAGCATTACTTGTCTTCGCTGGGCATCACATTCCGGTACTTGTTCCCTTTTGATTTGGCAAACAATCTGAGTGAAGGCAGCAGCTGAGGGTACACAAATGCTGCACTGTTGAAGACAACTTGACGCAAAGGTTTGCACATACCAATATGCGCTTCTGAATGAGAAAGAAAGAAGAAATGAAATGGAAACTTACATGGGGTCTCAAACAACTCGATCTCATAAATAGCATCATCATCATCAACACTGCCTTTCTCACTCTGCATAAGGGTATAGGCCATGAACAGTTTCCACCTTTTCCTATCCCATGCTAACTTCTTGATATTATTTCATGTATTGACTGCTTAGTGCAAGACTCTCCCATGTGCCATTTTGAAAAGTGACATATGATGGAGTCTTACACCGACCTGTCGACATACAACATAATTAACGACCGAAAAAGTATCTTTTGTTGCTGTCTTGATTGCTAAAGTTCCATACCCTTCAAGAAACAATGTATGTCATTTTTGAAAATGGAATATTTGCTCCCTTGTCAGGACAACGACATCCCAAAAGGAGCCAAAAAAAAAGGAGGGACTCAAAAGCCAAAACTTTTATGTTCTGGTCCAGATATACCTAACCATACCACAGCCATCAAACAAAAAGAAATACTAAAATCACTCTAACTTGCATTTGCAGTGCTTTCAATACATTTTTTGAGCTGTAGAGTCAGGAGCAAGAATCTTATAAAAATATTTTGATGTTTGGAACTTGATCTGGTGATTTTTGACAGCAGGTCACTCTGACATACGTAGAACCATAGTTTAGAGATACTGTCTTACAAGTATTTTTGTTCAGCCTATCAGGCACACGGTGAAGATGACACGAGAGATTTGAAATTTATGTGTCCACATAATGCTGCTGTATATATAAACACCATCAGCCAATAGATTTCATTTGATATCGATTGTTTTTGTTTGTTTGAGTAAAGAAAAGCACATCAACACAATAAGAATGGTCATTTAGTGCTGGGAAAAAGTAAGACAGACAGATAGAAACAACAGAGGGAAAGTAAAGAAGTGAGGCCCACGAGTGGCGCCCTCCAACCACCAGCTTTGCTGAGCTCTTTTTCTCTAGCAAGTCGCTTGCAGCTGCTCGTGGGCAGAACCACTGTGCCTGTGAGCCGCTCGCAGCAGCTCGGGCACATTGCTTTACGACAACTTCGATGTCAAATTACTTTTTGGATACTATTGAAAACAGGTCTCTTTTACTAGGATTTCATTCACTAGACGAAGATCTATCAGAATGAGTTCACTTGTTTTGATGTTAATGACCAATTTAGAGACGTATATCCAAATTTTAGATTTTGAAACCAAAAGAGGATCCTGGCACTGTGCGTTTACCTCCTTTTGAGATAAAGAGTTAATATTATTACACAGGCTCAAGAAAAGCAATTATTACAAAGGCAATTTTTGAATTAGTGTACATTTCCATTTATCTTTCTTTGACCCACAGTCTGAATTTTCAGACGTTTTAAAATAATTGAGCATGGTCTTTTCCAGACATAAATGAGGGTGCTATATTACTTCAAAAAAGCATAGTCCATTTTCATAGAAAAAGAAAATTAGAACTTTGTTTCATGATAAGGACACTTTAACTTTACTGACATGACAAGAGAACTCACCATAGATACCACTACTCTTTTTCTTGGGTTCTAAACCCATGCCTCCTACCTCCTGCAGCACTTCTAATGCAGGGTCAAGGTTACACACATTGAACACAGAGGCTGTGCCAGCAGCAGAAGACTTTCGAAAATGATCAAGTTCTCGCTGAAAATCAAGAAAACAATATAATATAAATCAATGGTACCATTTAACCTGTGAGATTACTCCTAGCATGTGGCCACTGAAAATAGATGGAGGATTTTTTCCTGAACAAACTTATTGTCCTTTTTTTTTTTTACTGCTGCAACCATTTTTTTCTTGGGATGCTCAGTTTTAGTGAAAGTACATTTAAAACAGAATAAACATAACGAAAGTGCGTAATTTCTTAAGAAATATCCTATGTGTCTGGAGAGGTATAAATTTAATCATGTCTGCAGCTATGGTCAAGAGATGGTGGCTAAGAGGATTCCTAGAGATACAGTCAAATTCAAACCTCTTTCCACTCAAATAAAAGAAACAATTCTATAAAATTTATGTTTTCATAGCATTACTAAGAATAGAAGAGAGAGCTGAACCATCAGATTTAATGAAATAAACATATCAGGGAGGGAGGGAGGAAGAGAGATAGAGAGAGAGATATATATATATAGAGAGAGAGAGAGAGAGAGAGAGAGAGAGAGAGAGAGAGAGAGAGAGAGAGAGAGAGAGAGAGAGAGAGCGAAACAGACAGAGACAGAGAGACACACAGACAGACAGACAGACAGACAGACAGACAGACAGACGGAGATTACCAGAAAATTTTCAGGCTGGCCCTTCAAGTCCCTGTACACACAATGGGTCTGGGAGAGGAGAAAGCTCTGAGTGAGCAGCTGGATGTGCTGAGGGCAAGAAACAAACGGAGCAAGTGAGTTGCAATGGGAAAAAACATGTCCAACTTCCAAGACAATGGCCCAAAAAAGATTATGGAAAATAAACTTGAGAAAAAGAGTAAACTGATACTCATTTTACCTTTCTGACAACTTACAATCAGGGTTGGTGATTTTTTTGATTTTTTAAATAAAAATTTAAAAAATCGATTTTTTAAATTTAAATCAAGATTTTTGTAAATTTAAATAGGATTTTTTTTATTTAAAAAAAAATGTAGACACAGTTTGGGATTTTTGGTTGCTAAAAGTATGTTCTTTTAGTGCAAAATGCATTGTCTTCATTTTAACTAATGATTAATTTAAGCAACCGCAAAAGAAAGCCTTAATCTGATATATATATATATATATATATATATATATTTATATATATATATCAGTGAATTATGGCTACAGACAAAAAAATGAAGAAAATGTCAATCTAAAAGGAAGGGGGGGGGGGGGTAATTATGCATAGATAAACTTGCATTTTATTACAGTGTGTGTGTGTGTGTGCGCGCGCTTGTGTTTGTGTAAAAAGAAAAAGAAAATATTAATTTCAATAATGAAAAAAACCACATAAATTGAATACTGTATTATTTTACAGTGGCAGGGGGAAAGCAGACTTTTAAGCATGATTATATTAGTCTACTAAACCTTATAACTGTTTTATAAAACCAAGGAAAGGAATTCTGAATGTTTAAAGATGTAAAAACAGAATACGTTTTTTAAAGTGATTTAAATCACTGAGTTTTATTTTTAAAAACAAGTTGATTTAAATTTTAAAAAATCAACAGATTTAAATCGACCTGATTTAAATCAACCCAACCCTGATTTCAATCATGAAAAAAAAAGTCAATTGAATACTGTATTATTTTACAGTGACAGGAGGGAAAGCAGACTTTTAAGTATGACTATATTAGTCTACTAAACCTTATCTGTTTAATAAAACCAAGGAAAGGAATTCTGAATGTTCAAATATGTAAAACCTGAATAAATTTTTTAAAAAGTGATTTAAATCACTGATTTTTATTTTAAAAATCAAGTTGATTAAAATATTTTAAAAATCAACTGATTTAAATCAACCCAGCTCTGATTTCAATTATGGAAAAAAAAGTAAATTGAATACTGTATTATTTTACAATGAAAGGAGGGAAAGCAGACTTTTAAGCATGAATATATTAGTCTACTAAACCTTATCTGTTTTATGGGACCAAGGAAAGGAATTTTAATGTTGAAATATGTAAAAACTGAATAAAAATACATTTAAAAAAAAGTGATTTAAATCACTGATTTTTATTTAAAAAATCAAGTTGATTTAAATTTAAAAAATCAACCGATTTAAATCAACCTGATTTAAATCAACCCAACCCTGCTTACAATTTAGTTGAAGAGAAGCACATTATTAAACAAGACGGATGGTAAGTTTGTTAGCAAGACAGGATTGCCACCTGCATGCCGCTGTTTACAGTTACGCTGCCAAACTTAAGTAAACATTTCTCGTAACTCAAAAACAAATTCCTCAAAGAAGAACTCGGTCCAGATCTTTGTGGTGATGCTGCTTACAGTGAATAAAAAATATTCAAGCATAACTAAAAAAAAAAAAAAAGGAAGACTGGCCTTGCTATTTCAAAATTCAAAGAATGCACAGTACTGTGATCAAAGTTCTGTAGTAAAAGACAGGGATCATTTTTGATAGCAGTACTACACCACAGTAGAATTTATTATTAAAACTTGAATTCTAGCACACTTGAACAAGGGCTAGATGAGCTCTGAATTATGCACACTCAGTCGCACATTTATAATGGTGATGGAAAATGTACTTCGCCCCATCACCACAGTTTGAACTATCCAGAAGGTGGGATTCCTTTACCATGCTTATTATGGCTAACCTTGGAGGTATGGGAAACATTCCAGCTAGAAGATGGAAACATTATGTCGAATCAAGCTCATGTCTTTTGGATGAAGAGCATAAATATTACACTATAGATGCAGACACCAAACACAAATTTCTAAAATAAAGCAATGCAACATATTCCTGATCATCCTTTTCGAAAAGAGAGTTCAAATGACTGTACTTAGTGAAAGCCTATTTTAAAATAGAGTTTGTTATCTTTACATATTAATTTATTAGAGAAGCAGGAACCCCATGAAAGAGGTGGAGCTATTTGTAACTGTACAAAAAGGATGGAAGAATAAAGAGTTACTTTTCTCATATGGTCCTCAATGATGGCATGCTGTTCATCTGTAATTCCTGCATCATGCGATCTGAAACAACAAAGCGAATACAGTTCACATTTTAACAGCTTCACCCTCAAAGAAATCCTATAAAAATCTGAACTAAGAGAATGTATAGCAATGAAAACTCGAAAAACCTAAGCTCACAAACATTCTTACAGGGAATCAGAGCAGCTCTATAGGATAGGACACCTGCAGCAGTAATGGTGTACTCCCCAGAATGAGTCTCTAATGGGCCACGACAAGAGCCATGTTAAATGGATTCTGTGTAGTATGTCTCTAAACTGTTCACGGTAATGACATGGCATTTCTGTCCGTCTTGCTGTCTTAGTCAAATACAAGGAGAATGTGAAAGAAGCCAGCCTCAGATACTCTGAAAAAAGAAGCATCTAACAATTTGTGAAAATTTCAACCACTCGACAATGGCCCAGCAGATTATCTTAGAAAAGAAAATAGGCAAAGAAATATCACAGCAGTGTAAGGTTTCTTTTTCCTAAAAGCCTTGTGGCGGAAAATAAATTTTGAATCCCTTTGTAAATGAACAAGCCCCTTTACAAAACTTTTATCAATAGCGGTGCTCTTGCATAAACAAAAGAATGATAAAAAGTTATTCAAAAACAACACATTGAAGTAAATATGCCTAATTATAAAATTTTAGTATGCTTACTGTTGACTGAAATCTTGACTTCTTTCATGGATGGAAGAGGTCTGAGAGACGTCAGAAACCTGTGAACTCCTCTGACCAGTCACTGTATGCATCCTGGAGCTCTGACTAGGAGGAGCTAGAGGAGTTTTAAACTCCGTAAATGTTGGTGCCACTGGGGTCTGGTTACTGAATGGTTGCCGAGTATTGCTATAAGGTTGTGAATAGCCTCCACACTGTTGGTTATTATTGCTGTATTGTTGTCCATTGCTGGTGTATTGTTGCCCATTATTGCTATAAAGCTGCTCGTTGTTATGGAACTGTTGCTTATAACAGTTGTATTGTTGTTCGTTATTGATATATTGCTGTTCATTGCGATTATATTGTTGGTTATTATTGTTGCACACTTGTCCATTATTACTGTACGGTTGTTCATTATTGCTGCTTCGTCGTTCATTATTGCAGTGCAGATGTCCAGTGCTGCTTGAAGGTTCACGGTTCCTGGAAGGTTCAGTGTTGCTGGAACGTTCCGTGTTGGTGGATTGTGGCTCATTGCTGGTAGAAGGCATAGCATTTCCCACTACACGATAGGGCAACTGGTCTTCTTCAAAGAGCTCCTCAAGTTCTGAGATAAGGATGTTCAGCTCCTTCTCTGTAGTTATGAAAATGTTAGTGGAAACTAATTGAAAATTCATTTTTAATCGGTGAGAACATTACAAAAAATAATTACAGAATCAACAAATGTGTTAAATCATAAATGTAACTAAAGGAAACCGCTCAATCAGTTCTGAAGTTGAAAATACTGATGTCATAAGAAAAATATTTACCAAATTCCTATTCAGAGATACATAAAGGATACATAAACCTTTAACATCTACTAGGGATGGCTAGGGGGACAAAAATTATATCATACCAGTAGATATAACCATCACAGTTCATTTAAATTAGACAACACAAAAGCAAGCTAAAACAAAAAGTCACATAAAATTTGCCTGCAAAGTCTGCAACAGGGCATGTGCATAAAACATTTTTTCTTCCCACCTTTCAGTCAGTCGACACTTTCTTCATCTCTGTCAACAAAGTGCACACAAGGACATACACAAATACATATAAAAACACAATCAAACACACACGTGCATGTGAGCAAACTCCTACATGCACACACACTGATATACACATGCGTGCACATAAACAAACACACACACACACTCACACATTTATGTGTACAAACACCTATAAACACACACAAACACACACTGAAATACATTTGCACACGCATATTTGAAAAGTAAGTCATTTACTGGTGATTTTTGAAGGTTTGTCAAACAGGAAATCTTCTACATCTTCTTCCTCTTTTTCGGCCTCAGCAATGTAGTTGAACTCTGGATCATTAGCATCATCATCTTGAATGGTGTCATCTACAAGGAAAGAAACAACATATTTCCTTTGCAACCCCATGAAAAGTTCTGACTTACGCAAATTCCATTTCTTCTGGACCTGCCATTTTTGTCTCCCATCATATTTACTTCATGCACTTTATGAATACTGTTATCAGCACCCTATCTTTGATTGAGACATAAAAACACATGATGAATAAGTGACCACTCATCGATAAAAAGAACCTTCATCTCAAATGCAACAAAACAATATTTTAGATGTAGAAGAGTACTCTCGTATACCGTAAGTCAAAGGGACCACAAAAAGTGAACAAAAGTCTTATACTTGGATGGTTTTACAATCTCAAACAACTTTCTTCAAATGCGGGGAATTCTGAATAAGTAGTAGAAGGTTTTGCTTCAAGCCATCTTTCATTTTTCTAAAGCAAAAAAAAAGGCAGCTTGGATTAATGTAACTGCATCTGGCTTAATTTGACTGATGGGCAAACCGAAAAACTAACATTTGATCAAAATCCCTTCTCTTTCGAGGCTTCAAAAGACCAAAATTTTTGTGTAGATGCCACATTAGCAGCATAAAAGAGGTCTCTGCTAGGTAGAAGTTAAGGTGTGCACCATAGCCCAAGGTGTCATGAGAGAACATAAGTCAATTTTTTTTTCACTATTTGAATGTAGGCGATTTTACGCCCCCATTGACACAATTTACAAACTTAGGAGACAGGCCTCCGACCCTGACATAAGTAAAAAAGAGAAATCAATTAACTATGAGTAATCAAACATAGCACAGGGTCTCACCTGTTGGCTTGTAGAGGGAAGAGAGGAACTGCATCCAGTCCTCATCCTTGCATGTATTATCATACATATCAGCTGTGATGTCCGGAGCAACAAAAGCACTTTCAATGTCTGTAATGCATGTGCTGGTCAGTGGCAGTTTTGACCTTGTGCGTCTGGCAATTGTGTCACCCTAGAAATTATAGCAACGACACTGACTGTTTCACAAAACGTTTGATGTAGAAATAATGTACTTATGACCATTTGGAACCTAAACTGCACTTAGTATGTCTCACACTGTCACCAATATTTCTTTTTTGCTCAGTACTGTAATGTGTGGGCAGATGGCCTTGAGATCTACTGAATCCAACTGAGGAAAGTTCTTAAACAACCCGAATCCAACAACACCCTCTAGGGATTTGTACTAGGGTGCTCTGTACTATCGTTCAGGGCAATTTCAAGCTCTTATGTGCCTCATATATTTTAGCATTTCTTGAAATTTTTTATGAGTTTGTCACAAGCAATAATAATAAGAAAATGACGTAATTGGTAAAACATAGCATTACACTCTAAAAGTGTAGCTGGACACCTCAATTTAGTCATGCATCAAAGCAACATCTAGAAGCAAAAAGAGAGAAAAAAAGGGGAAAAACTACTGTCAGATCCCCATTATAATATAATGAATGCATCTCAGGTAAAAAAAACAACGGCCAAGAACAACCACAACTACAGCTCGAGCCTCCAGCCATACCGTTTCACTGACATAACTTGTGGAGGCCTGCTCACAAGCATTGAAAGCACTCTCCAGGTTCTTGGAGCTGGAGACCACAGCTGGTGAGGCAGACACTGAGGAAGCCACGGAGCCTGGGGTCTGGGAAAGGACATTTGTTTTCTTTGTTTGAGTAAAGAGATGCAATTGACACTAAAACAGCAATTTAGTACAGGGGACAAGAAAGATAGACAGACAGAAGCAACAGAGGGTGAGAACAGAAGTAGGACTTAACAGTGGCGCCCTCCAACCACCCCTTGGGAAAAGACAAACAAAACAAATGTAAGGGGAAATATAAGAGCGAAGGAAGTCAGAACAGTTCTAAAATAACAAGAATAAAAAACTAGCTAATGACTGTTTCCATCACTCTTTGCATGTTTTTGGAGAGAATGGAAGCTCCTTCAAACCAGTCCTGAGAACACTGATGTTCCTTTTTGCGACAATAGACAATAAATGATATAAACAATATAGTGTGCAATGAAATGTGAAAGTAAAGTAAATTAACATGATTTTATCCCTTTTGAAAGTTTTGTTAACATACAAAAGAGAGGGTGGCTAAAGAAGAAAAAAGACAGCTATGACCCCAAGCGACTTTTAGTTTAGTATAGTTTTAGTAGAAGTTTTACAGCGCTCGCAACTGCATAAGGTCATATGAGCGCCAGAAGGTTAGAGCTGTTACAAGAGAGTAACAAAGATAAAAAAGAAGAAGGGGCCATAAGGACGATAGATGTTTGACAGGAAAGAAGAAGCAAACCACACCAGAGCACCCGCCAACCACCCACGCCCAAGAGACTGCCAGAGAAAAAAAACATGGAAGTTAGTCACAGGACAGGACAACGGTCTTGCTCAATCAAATGAGCCTTTCATCAGAGGGGACTTATGATAAAGAGTAGATAGCGTTATCTTTGGTTCACTAGCTCCAGGGACCAGGTAGAACAAACAATCCGGATGTGAAAGTCAAATCTGCCAACACTTTAATTTTTTTTCTTGGCTGAATGCTATTTCAGTACTTACATCTGGCATTTTTTCACTACTTTGAGGAATAGCAGAACTGCTTGGAGTGAGAGGGTAGGGTGACCCAATTTCACTAAATCGTGAGGAGACCACACTTTCATCATCATCGCTGTCACGAGCCTAGACATAAAAAAAGAGAAATGGTTTGTAAGATAACACCGATTCGAGATGAACATGAATGAGAGATTTATTTTTTAGAGACACTGGAACACATAAATTGTTTACTTCAGATATCCTTTTCTAAGGTACTCGGACACATAAGTACTTTACTTATATAAAAAATATAGGCTGGGAGAATTTCCTCTTACACTCGAAAAAGTAATAAACTAAATTTTTCAAAATCTCCCTGTAAAATTCCCTTATTTGTAGAACTGTAAATTTCATAGGACAATAACTTGCTAGAAGACAAAAGAGCCCAAGAACAGACATGGATCAATCAAAACAAAGTATGAGTGTTCTAAGACAGGTTTCATTGAACAAAAACTCTGAGTCTTGTTCAATTTTACCCAGCACAACCATGCTATTTATTACACTCCAGTGATAGAACAACACTAAAGTTCCATTAAGCAATTTATAACATTAATAGTATGGCCATAACAGACAATAAGATTCTACCGAAAACATGGTAATCTTACCTCAGCATCTTTATTGGGATCATATTCTTCATCATCTTCTTCTTCTGTAAACTCTACATCCAGAATACTTGGACCAGCTTTCGTGTGTTTTGATGGTGATGGTACCTGCAATGCATTTATTTCCATGTTGGTTTACCATAAAAACAAAATTGTTCAAAGCACTGGTCTTACACACAGCTTACGATGCATTCATTTGTGTTTGTCCCAGTGGTATTTATGTAACAGAGAAATTTAATCACCTCATTGCAATATCCTCCTGCAGAATTCATTATTCATCGTCTTCCTTACTAAATTTTAAAGAAAATGCTTTAAAAGAATTAGGTAAAAGGTTCAACACTTATATGACAAAACCCTTGCATGTGAAAGAAATAATATGCGAGGCATTGGGGTGAAATCAGGCGCTTGTCAAAGTGATGAAATCGAAGATACAGGCATTTTCCGGCCGGTTTGGCAACTTTTATTGAATTTTGATTTTTGAATCAACACCTATTATGTTCATTTAGAAACATAATTCTGTACGGATTTTTTTCCGACATCGTTGATAAAAGGCACAAAAACGTAAATTTTTCAGTTTCTAAGGACTCTCCAGCTTTGGAAGGCACCGCACGTTGAGGGTCATTTTGTCACTTATTTTACTTCTGAAACCAGACAACCCTATCTTCAATCACAAATTTCTCGACTTATGTTCGCGGCTGATTCCACTGTGTCGTAACAAACATTTTCTAACCAACCCTATAATAATTTACATGCTTCAATATTTGTCAAAGTCATTTATCACTGTATTGAGGGGATTAAAGTTTCTAATATCAAATCTTTTCCTAACTGAGGTCACAATTGTTTCTCTTCTGTAACTTGGAAATTTGGTGAGTATTTACTGTTGAGAATTTAAGAGACAAACCATAACTCAAAGAACAATATATCATGATAAAAGCAGAGCATGAAAATCAAAATCCAATTCTCTTCATGACAAGTAACTACAAAACTGAAATCAGAAAGACTTTAAATACGTATAACACAAAAATGCAAAACCAAAAAACTCACACTCCCTTTATCCACCAAATCCTTGACCTTTGCTCGAGTCAGTATTGGCAAAATATCCAACTTTTCTGGTGAGAACTTTTTCGGTGTCACAGAGTCTTTTTCTTCGGAGCTGCCATCTTTCTCTTCCTGTAGTAAATCACTGAACATATCCTTCACATGCTCATTGGTTAATATGTGCTGGAAAGACATTGGACAAAATATGGAAGTTATCATTCCACTGAGCCAGGGAACAGCAAAATCCCAAACATCCTGAACACTAAATAAAAAAAACATGGAAACATCTTTGAATCAAGAGTGTTATTAACTTGTCTTAACAAAAAGTGAATAACATACTTTCAAAATTAAAAAAAAAGAAAAAACACAGTAATAATGCGAAACGAAAACATTGAGCGGAACAGTACAACATCAACTCCAAATTTAATTTGATGTATCTGTCAGAATAAACTTACATGAATAATTGATTTGACATTCTTTGCATTCATATTCATATTACTGGCTTTTTCTTCCAGCCGTGCATCAATAGACCCTATGTTTTCATCGCCATCTTCAGATTCTTCATCATTGTCAGTTTCCCACTCAGAATCGGCTGTCTCTTTTGACCTGAGGGAAGAGAAGAAGAGAAGATGTTAGGGTTGTAAATAAAAGTAGGACTCCTCAATCAATGAGTAACTACCAAAACATATATATACATGTATGTTATTAATGTATGTATGTATGTTTATATAATCATTGCACTGATCAAGAATGCAAAAAGTAAGATACCCTACCATATTAGAGACCACAAAATCAGCTGTAACTTCAGTTCAAAGAGAAAATTGTTCTTTGAAGAGAAAATAACAAAGGCAAACATTATTTATATAATTAGGTGATATCTGGATGACATGAAAAGGTAGACAAACTAGAAATATGGGGGAGCAACAAACAAAAGCCATCCGTTGAGGCAAAAGAGAGCCATTTTAAGCTGACCATGAAGGAGAGGTCCGTCCATGATGATGATACAATGAGGTGAACACTCAATGGCAGTGATGATTCGGATTATTTCGAAAACAGTGTTGCCTGATAAGAAACAGGAAACTACTGTGAAAATGTATGCTCAGACATCAAACAATATAGCTCGCATATGAGATAGTTAGTTAGGCTGGGAAGTTCAGACACCAACTTTTCACTCTTTTACTTAAAAATCAATTTGAAATGTGGTTGGAGAATGTAAGAAGTCCATTTCATCCCCTTCCTCACTCATTTTTCTTCAAACTACTCCAAAACCCCTATTTCAGAAAGGCAAATAAAATAAAGACATGAGGCATTCAAAGCTGAGGTTTAAATACATGTATCTAGAGTCTAAAAACAACAATATAACAAAACAAAGTGCTAAGGCTATTATAAAAAAATGTTATTTGTGAGGCAGTGTGGTGGAATCAGGCTCTCGTCAATTTTTTGGCATATTGAGTTATTGGTATTATCTTAAAGCTTGTTCATTTGCCTAGCTTTCAATGAAAAAATTACCCACATTCCTTCAATAGAAGTGAAGATATTTGGGATTGAAGGAGGTGGGGGTCCCCAGGTTTAAGAGGTAAAATTAGAGAGAAAATGGCTGCCGAAGCTTGGTAAATTTCAAAGTTGGAGAGTCCATGTAAACTGTAAATTTATATTTTTGTGCCTTTAATCAACTTTTCGGTGAAATCCTCAAAGGAATGTGTTTGTAAATGGACATAAAAGGTGTTGAGCCAAAAAAATAAAAATAAAATAAAAATTGCTAAGCAGGGGAGAAAACTGCTGTTTTCTTCGACTTCATTATTTTGACGAGAGCCTGATTCCACCACGCTGCCTCACATTTCAGTTCCTACTAACTGAGGAAATTTATGTCAACTCACTGTTTCTCTTTCAATTCAAGGTGAACCTCAGAAGATCTCTTCTTAGCACCACCTTTGGACTTCTTCACTGGTGTCACCTGCAGAGCCTTGTGTGGTGTTCTCTGCACAGCTTTTTTACCAGTCAACTTCTGAAGTGTTTTTGATGGGGTCTTAGAACTAGCACTTGCTTTTGCTGATTCTTCTATCTTTGAAAAGGCTTCTAAAGTCCTCATCAAAACTTTTGAAGGAGTCTCCAGAGGATCCTCAGTAGAGTCAATAATTTCATTTGTGGCTTCTTTTTTCTTTGGAGTCCTTGTCTCTCTTCTGGCATCATCCAGTATTTGCTTTTGATCTAATGGGGACGAAAACACTGAAGAGTTCTCTTCTTTGCTCATGTCAGTTTCATCTTCATCATTGTCACCATCTTCTTTGTCACCATCATCATTACCATTCCCCCTGTCATCATCCTTATTACTATCTTCTATATCAGTTTGACTTGAATTAGCCATAATGAGACTGCTGTCACATTCCTCCCCTGAGGGACTGTCTTGGGGCTTTTTGCAGTTGTCAGACATGCTGGACTTTCATATAAACTGTAGGTCCCCTGTCAAAATACAAACAATTCATTTGATAGTACAAAGAGATTTTCCTTCATCTGTTAGGATTTCTTTTTGAAATCACAAAAGTGAGCAAATAGATACTAGAGTCAGGATTAAAGAAAAAAGGAACGGGTCTGCAGTCTACTTCATGTAGGTAGGTGTCTCTCATTTAAAAAAAAAATTTTTTTTGAGATCAAAGTACAGGTAAACCTGGTCTCTGTGACTCTGTAGAACAAGTAGTAGGGGGCTCTCGTAGTCTAGAGATTAAGGTGTTTAGCCTCTCATTCAATGGGTCTTGGGCTCAAATTCTGGTAGCGACGGAAATTTTTCTTTTCTAAAATTGTCTCCTTTTATCTCCTTTCCTGCTCTCAAGCAATGTTCTGTCGTCTGCTTTCGTCTCCACTTTCTGCCCCCATCCCCTCACCTCCTTTGTCCCCTCTTCTGGGTTCCTGACTCTTTCTGTACCCTTTCTACTGCTACTCCCTGGTTCCTTCATACTGCTGTCTTTCAGCCACACCCCTGATCTTCTGGTAGGAAAGATTTACACCTAGCTTTCTTAGACAAGGGCGAAAAACCTTGGAGGTCCCGTGTGCAAGTTGTGCACGTTCTTAAGATCCCTTGGAGGTTCAAAATCGATAAAAGAGTAGACTTCGGCCGCCACCCGAGCAAAATTCAAAATTTCCTACCAACTGAAAATGTTTAATGTGTCCCGCACGCTCATATATGACCTTAGTTGCGAGTAAAACATACTTACCAAAATTTTAAAAAAGGACAAGTTGTGCAATGAGCATTTTGAGCAAAAAGTCTTCTTTCTGACGGCTCGGACATTTCAAACTATTCTAGAGACAAAGCTGTTTTAGTTACCTTGGCACAAAGATGCCTAATGTCAGTACCATGGCAATATGATTAGGGGACTTACAAAGAAACATTTGTCACAAAAGAAAAGGAGAGAATGGCCTTTTGAATCAGGCTCAAAGAGTCAAATTTTTAAGGGAGAGGCACTATATTTTTTCTAACTTAAACCTAAATCTAAAGCATTAACAACTTCAACTTGAATGACTAGAAGAGGCTGAAAATGCTGTGAAATGTAGATCACACACATGTACACGCCACTCTTGAACTGTTGCAAATCAGTTATTTTCAAGAAAATTTTTAACAACTGCAAAACATCAAATTATGGGTGAAAACAGCAGAAATGTAAGCCCAAAGATTTAAATTTTTTTCTAAAAATAACTTTTTACACTTTGCACTCACACAGCCAGCAGTACAAAATACCCCATGCATCTGGTCACAGGCCTGGTGACTGCGCCAGGAGACCGGAACAGAAAATTTTCATCGGTGCATATTCACATTGCGCCATTTGCGCCAAGTGAGCGCAAAATGTTAAGGGGGTATTTTAGGGAAGAACATTTTTCCGTCACAACTCGGATTCGAACCCAGGACCTTTGAATGAGAGGCGAACACCTTCCTCTTGGCCACGAGAGCCCCCTTAAGATCTATCTAGATCTAGATCTAGTTTTATAAGATGTAATACAGGTTGAAGGCCAACCTCTAAACCTGGGGTGAGAATAAAAAATTTTCCACTGGCAGAATCTTGATCTAGATTTAGATCTAGAAAGCCCTACAATTTGGGTCTGGAAATATTGAGCACATATTCAAACGAGAGTGCTGCTCACAGGAAAATTGTCACGTTTAGCTTTTGAATGCTTTCTGTCATGATATCAAATCAATTTCACTGAAAGAAAAGAAAAAGGCCAAAAATATGAATATAAAGTAAAACTAAATCATACACACAAGAACACACACACAGACGCCTTCTTGAAGTCTTTCTAAGAGTAAAAGAAAATGGCAGAAGGTTCACAAGGAAAATAAAATTCTCTACGCTAGTTTTCTTCTGAACTATTCCCACTCGGGCGGGAACAAAATTTTCTTCTATTCCCAGAGGGTGGGGGGGGGGGGGGGGGGGGGAGTAAAATATCTTTATACTTCCCAACATGCCATAGAGGTGGGAATTATTTATATTTTTAATCTTTTCTCACAGTGGCGGAATAGTCTAGCGGCAGCCAAGACTAGTTATTTAAATAGTTCACAGCAAACCCAGACTCAAAAACGTCGTTTTTGTCTGCCTTGTGTAATTATAAATTGCAATCCAAGATTGCCTTTCGTTTATCATGATTAATGGTAGCGCCAATCAAAGGAAAGACTAAGACACGTCTTGTCCCAGTCACTGAGTCAGAGTGAAAGTAGATTCTAATGAAACTGAAAGGGAAATTATGAAAAAAGCGAGGGCATTTCAGATTTCTTCAGCAGATACAGACGCAGCTGTAAGGATTGGTCTGGACAGGGTTAACAACAGCGTTTACAGCTAGATCTGAATATAGAGGCAATACCCAAGGGTTGAGGCGAGGTCTCTACGTCTACAAAAAGCGAAATCGGCAAACCTTCTCCTAGTCTTGAAGGTTTCATCGGTTTCATGCTCCATTGTTTTTCCCGTAAAATCAAAGCTAACTAGGGCTACATAATCAAAACTTTTATGGCAGAAGATCATCAGGGGGAGATCACTCTTAGGTTCTATTATTGTAAACATTCGCTCTTCATTCGCAAACTCAAAGTTTTGCTCTACTCAAATTTCCGTGTTCTGTGTGTGCTCAAAATTAGCGGGTGCTCCGCTTGTTTATTTCTGACAGTGATTGTATTGTATTCCAAGACGGTCCAAGTTGAAGTTGAACTTTATATTCAAAATCTAGTTACTTGACTTTATGCTGAGTAGGCTATGTTCGAGAGGTAGGGTGATTTTGAAGTTTCGTTCGTTAAAGTAAAGTCAAGACGACTCAAGAGCAGGGGGTTTTCAGGGGGGCTTGCCCTGGGAAACGCCGCGTTCTAAGTCTGAATACTGAATAGTTTAGCTCCCGTGCTATGAAACGTCGTGTTCTGAATAGCTCCCCCAATGCTATTTGAAACGCCAGTACTAGATTCCGTAACGAGCGACCACCCCAACAAACAAAATAAAGTGTCAACTCCTGAATCCCAAACCCTAACCCTAACCCTAACCCTAACCCTAACCCTAACCCTAACCCTACCCCTGCCCTAGGCCCCTAGGCTAGAACCGTACGTAGTCCCTCCTACCCCTAGCCCTCAATTCTACTCTGTCTCCATAGTGGTCGCTCGTTACGGAAGTCCTCCCCTAGATTTTAGATCTAGATCTAGATCTAGGTAGATCTACTAGATCTAGATCTAGATCTAGATCTAGTAGCCATATATTATATCATATGCCTGAAGTGAAGTGAAAGCTTTCTCAGTCATCAAACAAACCGTATTATACTTTGTCTTCGAAGTGATTGTTGTTCTCTCTTTTTTATTTTTCTCTCTCTCTCTCTCCCTCTCTCTCTCACCCCCCCTCTCTCTCTCTCTCTCTCTCTCTCTCTCTCTCTCTCTCTCTCTCTCTCTCTCTCTTAAACAGAAGTAAGTCAAGAAATTAAGACAGTCGAGCGTACAACAAACGCATTGGCAGGTCATGCATCAACACGCTCCAAAGTCCAAAACCAATCATAGTCTAGTATGAGCGCCCTGATCACATTGCCTCTACAGTCTACAGCCCGATCGTGTTGGCCTAGCTTGGATATAAAACTAGCGTTACCGACACCGGGGGTTAGAAGTAGCCACCTGAACAATTAACTTAACTGTCTACGCTATGTGTTGCCTCCATTGACTGGCTACACTTCCTGTGTTTTCCCATTCATTAATACATTACCCCTCCGCTCGTCACACGCGCCGTCACCGAGTGCACACCCTGCCCTCACCCACCCCCAGTAGACAGACCGACACCCCTTAGCCCCCACCCCCTTTCAATCACGCAGCATCTCAATGGCTGAACGACAGACAAGCCTTCCTAACTCTACCTTTCACCCTAGGCTTAGAGACTCCCATCTATTCTTAGCACCATCAATGACCTATGAACTGAGTTGAAGCTATATAGGCCTATATGGGAACAACTCTGAATCGATTCACTGCTCGCACCCACCGCACCATATCAAAGATAGAGTACAAATACATTGAAGCGACAGAAATGCGGTTTCTTATACTAGGAGTAGGAGACTGCACTGAGTATCATGGAAGGAAAAGAAATCAAATGAGGTAGGTAGTGCTTTGATGAAGTCCATGAATAGACAGGGTCCAAACATCTAGCTCTCACTGGCAAAATTGAAGGCAAACGAGGTAGGGGTAGGCCCAGTCAACCTACTTAGTACTTAGGGAACGTAAACAAATGGGAAACAGGGAAAGATCAGGGAAACGGGGCTTTTTTAAGAGCATCCAAGCAAAGGAATGAATGGAGAACCATGATCGCCGATGTCTGTCGCAGATCTGGTACTGGATGATGATGATTCGTAAATCATATCTTGTACAAGTTTAAAATACTGTTCAATAAGAACAATAGTTTTTAAAATATGGGAAAAATAATGTGTGGTAGAGTTAGTGAGGCTTTATTTGAAAGTAAAGGTCTAGCTTTTAGCAAAATTGCAGTACCGTATGTTTCAATTAGCTATTTTATTTTTAACAAATATAATTTATAATTAATATTATGATCTTGCCTATCACCACACCTCACATCAAACATACTTTTAAAAACTGACTTTGTTAAAATCTAATTCGATTTAATTTCGATATAATATTGTCAATAGTGTCAATAGGCCTATTAATGAACTGTGTAGCTGATCAGGTAGGCACAATGACTTGCACAGCCCCAACCCTCCCCCGAAAATTGTGATTTGCGATTGCCATGACAATGCGTGTTTGAATGCGTGCTACGAAATGATCATGATCTCCATTTAACCTTGTGGATTTGGGGTGTGACGTCTTGACTGCACCGGTGTGATGAAATGACTGTGTGACGATATGACTGAGGTCCCTAAATTTTGCTTTTTTTTTTAGAACAGGGTCTGGATTTAAAAAAATTAAATATTAATAATAATAATATAGATCTAGAATCCCCTCTAGATCTATGATTTGATTTTTTCGATATATATATATTTATTTTTCTCAATCTATATTTTCATTCAAGCCTTAGAATAATATTCCACAGATCCAGCAAGACTGTCATTCATCGAAAGAAGCTTAGACAGCCTAGATAGACTAGTTCCTAGAACACGACGCACAACTACTGTCTATTGTCTGCACGGTCGAGATCAATACACCATTATTATACTTAGTCTAAGTTCTCACTCTAAGTTTGAATCAAAGCCCAAATAAGCCTAATTATCCTAATAAGCTAAACAAAATTTTCCTAACTTTTATAGGTTGTCATGCCTAAAGGTGCACTGAGTACTGTCGAACCTACAGCAAGACTGCCACCCATTGTTGAGTGAAAAAGTGGACGTCTGAGACAAATGTCCGTCTTAGATTTAGAAGGCAGGACTGATACTGATGAAACTGAAGAAAACAAATCATTCCTGGTCATTCCCTTCTGAGGTCTCAACCTGCTTAGGACTAATTAGACTAAGGGTAATCTAAATGGGATTTTTTTTCAGGGGGTCCGGGGGGGGGGGGGGGGAGGGGAGTTTATTGTTGTTGTTGCTTTACTGGTTTTTCAGGGGGTTGATATTGTTTTTTTTTAACATTCCCTTCTGAGTTCCCCACTATAGTTGGTTGTAGGCTCAGACATGGGTTACATTTCTACATTGATGCCATCGTCAACGGCTGGATTTATCTGAATGTGTGAAGCATTTTTGTTCACACAACGAAGTCTCAGGCAGGACTGCTGTAATAAACTGTTAAATTCTACAAAGTGTATCAAATGATGAAGACAGTGTGCAATGTAAAACAGTATGAAACTAGTCAGACGAGAAGGTAAAATTTAACTAATGGGTCGCCACCACTTGGAGAATGAATGACGCTTCCTGTTCATGTCCATTTAAAGACTGGGTAAACAGTGACGGGTCACCTCACTTACGATTTGTGAGTTGTGGGTTGGGCTTGTACTTGTAGGTTATGACACCTCATGCTTCCCTCACCAGCAGCTGAAAATTTATTGTTATCCAGTGGTTAATTTGGAAAACAGTGGATGGGGCCTACCTACATGGTCGGACATAGGAGGGACTAACAACAATGACAGGAGGTGAATGGATGGCTCGTATACCAGCGTCGGGAGCCAATACTTAATTTATGACACAATGTCGGGCAAAGAAAGATTTGTGTGGCCGTTCTTAGACAGGTTTTTTTGTTTTTGGGAGATAAAATAGGGTGGCTGTGGTCACGTTGTACAGGTGACCATTGATAAATTAATTATACTTTGTGAAATTATATATAGAGAGAAAAAACGCAAGGGGGGAAATGGAAAGTGGCTATTTGTACAGGTGGCCGTTGGCCATATTGTGCAGGTTCAACGATATTTTGATATACATCTATGGTGCCTGTTTCTTCATGTTTCTTTGCTTTTTCCCTAATTGATAGTTTTTATCAAAATGTCTTGTAAACCTTTCCTTTTAGTTTTTCAGAGTGAATTCTTTTCTGTAGGCCTAACTACTTTTTGTGGTATTTTAAACTCCGTTAGAAAGCAGGACCTTTTTATCTTACTTTTTTGTTTTGTGTGACATTGCTCTTTTTCTTTTCAGGTTGCACCGTTGTATTTGCTTCAATATCTTTACATTTGAAAAGTAAAGATTTAAAATGGATGCATTAACATCAGAAGTACCTTCTACCTCAAGTGTTGCCCATCATGCTACAGGGTCCTCGACAATATCTGCAGCTAATGAAAGTATACCTGAGAGAGGCAAAAGTAACAGCAGCTCTAGTCTCATGAGTCGAATGGTACTCAATGACAACAAGGCTGGCATGGAGGGTCTGGACAAAGAGAAAATAAACCAGATAATTTATGAGGCTTCGAAAGGTAAGGTCATGTCTTGTGTATCTGTACACTTTCTGCTTGTATTAATCTTTGTATTTTTGTTTTGTCTGTCTGATTCATTTAGATGTACTATAACTAAACGTTTTTTATTATCAGAGCGTAATATGTTACTACTGAGTATTTATATCAATGTCTCTCTATTATGCTCTTTTGTACCTTTGTAGTTTTTTTTTTCTTACTTTGCAGGGGAACAGATTGTTATCGAGGGTGCTTCTGGTCGATCATAATTCTTTACTATCTTTCTGTTGTGTCTGTCTGTCCCTGTTATTTTCTGCCTTGCATTTAATGACTGTTATGATGTTGTAATCATGAATGTTGATACACTACTCTTTAGCTATCAATGCAAACATTTTACAGGATCCAAATTTTATGAGAATGAAAGAAAGAAGGAGGAGCAACTGAACTTGAGAATAAAGGAGCAACAGTTTCAAATGGATAAACTCACGCCTGGAAAACTACAGGAAGGCATAAGAGAGGTTGGAGTTTCACGTTGTCACAGTTGTGTGTTGTGAAAGTCTTAGGACCTTGTATTTTTATCCAAGTGTCACTCTGTGCAAAACATTAGCCTTGTTTGATCTTTTAACTCCATCTCCAGTAAGCTGCTCCCACCGGCCCATGGTCAGAACGCCTGTGCCATTGAGCTGTTGGCAGCAGCTCTGGCGCATTCCTTTATGATGACTTCAACGTAAAATTAGTTTTCAGTAGTTTCCGAAAACAGGTTTCTTGTACCAGTTCATTCATTCTTTTGATGAAAACGTATCAAAATGGGTTCACTTGTTTTGATTTATTGACCAATTTAGTCATGTAGATGTCGCTTTTAGATTTCATACGAAAAGAGGGCCCTGATATAGTGGGATGAAGAGTTTAAAATATTTGATGCTGCATAACTTTGATGTAGCAAGAAAATAAAAGTAATTTTTTTTAACCTTATAAGTTATATAGAGGGTGTGGAAGAACAGTGGAGTTCCTCACTTTCCATTTGACAGCAAACCTGACTTAGAGGCTTACATTATTTCAGAAGCCATTTATACATACTCGATCAGATATAATATCTCTTTTAAACTTTGAATAACTTTGAAAAGTGACCAGTCTCTGTGAAATAAAATGCAACCGCCTCAACCATTGCTCATTCTGTTCATCAGAACTTGGAACCTAATAATCACTTCACCTTTCTGCTTAAAACATTTTTGCTTTGATTTTGTTTTCTTATGCTGAATATTCTGTACCATTTCAAAACTCAAAATTCCTGGCTAAATAGAATATCATCATTGTTCGTAGAGCAGAGTCAAATATATTGTATCATTTTTCATATGGAAATTTTCTGAAATGTGCTTTTAATCTTAGTTATTTGTTTATTTCTTTTTCAAGGCAGATCGCATTATAGAAAACTTAAACCAAAGATATGATTTATCGCACACAATTGTCCACGTAGACATGGATGCATTTTACGCTGCTGTGGAGATGAGGGATGATCCAAGGCTCAGAAATAAACCAATGGCTGTTGGAGGCATGGGGATGTTGGTATGAATTTTAAAACACTTTACATAGTCAAAGTCTCTAGCACTTCCTACTTTCCGTCAGAAAGAGTATTGCCTTTTCATAATAATAAGCATGATGTACAATTTACCTTTATTAGCGCAGCTTGTAGCGATAGCCAAGGGTAATCAAATATGCTGTAATTGTTAGATTTTTAGTTCCGTTCCTTATTTCCTCCATTGTCAGTCCTTTTTTATCATCTTTATTTTGTAACCCATGAGTGTGTTGGGTTGGTAGTGGTTTTGTGAGTTACTGTCATTCAATTTTAGCATTAAGATGAAAGTCGAATCTGTTAATGATTAATTATCATTAAGAGTTCAGTATTTGAATCTGATTTTCTGACTTGATGAATTTGGTGCAGTACCCTTCTTCCTTAATGATGAGTAAAAGTTTTGTATTGTGTCATAAATATGACCAAAAGTTGTCATCTTTTTTATGTGGTTTACCACCATGCCTTGTGAATCTACTTGTAATTTTATGTTTTGCAGAGCACTTCAAATTATATTGCTCGTCGATTTGGAGTGCGTGCTGCTATGCCTGGTTTCATCGGACTGAAGCTTTGCCCAGATCTTGTAATGGTCAAGCCAAACTTCACCAAGTACACGGCTGTCAGTCATCTGATTCGTGAAATCTTTGCTACATATGACCCGAACTTCTGTCCAATGAGTTTAGATGAAGCTTACCTGGATTTTACGTCTCATCTGGACTGGCGAATTACTTCTTCCGCTATAGATAGGACATTTCTTCTGCGCCCAAGATCTGTATTAGATGCCTCTAACATTGAGTCGTCTGCAGATTCAGCTTGTGTTTGTGACTTAAATAAAGTGTTACGACCTCTTTTAGTAAGCTCAGATGAATTACAGGAGAGAACACTCTCAGATTTTTCAGTATCTACAGTGATTGAAAAATTGTGTCAGAATTCAGAGAGATTTAAAATATGTCCTGAGTGCCAGAAAAGTTTTCCCTCCTTCAAAGCCAAAGTATATGGAGTCAGCACGGAAGATGCTGTGCTGGAGATGAGAAATCGTATTGAACAACGAACTCTCCTGACTGCAAGTGCAGGTACATGAAATCTTTTCTTTTGCTGGAACCATTCCTTATAGATCTTTTAAATCTCATTACTTTTTAAGATCTTTATCGTAATTTTGACAAAGTTGTTTGACCCTAGAATTGGCATGTTGTCACATAATTGACCCATTTTCTATGATAGGCATTTTATAATAAATATACTTTGGAACTGTTCAACTTCTTTTAGTTTGTTTACTGTGTAGTGATTTCTCTCGTACAGTTTCTTTGCATCTTTATCCCTCGAAGTATTGGATTCTGTTCTAGGCATTAACTTAATGATGATGGTGCCTGTGCCAATGAAAAAAAAAATGTATTTCGAGACAAGTGTCTGAGCATGTAGATAAGTGTGAAGTAGGAAAGTAACCTTCTTTAGATGAAAAAAATATATTTGGAATGGAGTAGGGAATGAATATGGTAACTATCACCCCTGACTGCTGATTTCTGTCTCTTGATCACTGAAACTGGTTATGACTAGCGTATGGAGTGACATGCTACCGGTAAACAGGACTGGAAGAAAGAGAATTACACGAACGTGGGTGGGAACTGTGTATAGGGATGGATGAATTTTTCGGGGGAATAACTCATTTTTGCTGTCCTGTTTAATGAATCAAGACCAATTGCAAACATTCTGAGCCTTGATTGACCCGTGTCATTATGATGAAAAAAAAAAAAAGTAAGGGGGCTGTGGAAATCAGTTACTTGTATTGACGATTGTCTTGGACTGGTGGTAGTCAGAGCAGGTTCAAATGGACAAATGTTCACAATGATCTGTCATGATTTCTCTAAGTGTTCTTTACTTTAGAGGGTGACATGTGACTCACGCAATTAGAATTTTCCACTCTATTCTGTTTGTAACTTTTTGTCTATGCTTAACCCTTAACCAAACAGTATATATTCTGTTCCAATATGTTTTTACCTCAGGTATTGCTCCTAACACGATGTTGGCGAAAGTCTGCTCTGACAGAAACAAGCCTAATGGACAGTTTCGCATTCAGCCAAGCAGGGAGGAAGTCACAAATTTTGTGGAAAGTCTGCCTATACGGAAGGTACTCTTGATGCCAATCAAATTAAATCTTGAGTGGACAAAAATTTTTCTGCTAGTTTTAAAAGTTTACTCTGGGCTGTGAAAATTTTCATTGTCAGTTGGAAAAGAGAGTTTAGTTTTGAAGTTTGAGCATTACTAAGTTGAACGCTATGTTACTTCATTCAACTTATTTTAGATAGAAGTATAATTTAACCCTTAAAACCCTATACCGCTGGTAACCGCTTACGCTGTATGTTCCTTTTCTGCTGCATAGCAGCCAACCACTTCGTAACTGGTACGATTTCACCTCCCGGGAAAAAGAAAATTGTCTCCTGGAAAAAAAAATTGTCTGCACTGTAAAGCCTCGAAATCCCGCCCCGCTGAACCGTGTATCGTAACAATAGACAAATTGCTTGGTGGAAAGAATCGATGTACTCATTACCAGCAAAGACTGTGCATAACAAGATAGTTCACTAGCCAAAAAAGCTTCCTCGGAAGTCTGCACATTGGTTCAGAAGGCGTGGCAGTCTTTGTTTTGAAGCTCTCTATTATTTCTTCAGAAGAATTATATTAGAAATAGCACAGTTTATAAATTGGTTTTACTTTTATTGTTTTTAACACAAGTAGGGTAACTGAATGCAAAGTCCGCACTTTTTCAAAGAGTGTGCCACCGAATTTTGAGCACTCTTTTTTAATTTCCTCAAAGAGAGGAGTGAACTATCTTGTTATGGTACTTGGTTCGAGTGACAGGATGTTAATGGATTCTGTAACAATCCCAGCCGATGCCTCGCATAGCGATAGGTCTAGGCCTAGGCATAAAGATTTTTTGGGGGTTTTTTTGTATTCTCCCTCCGGGTCGTAGGTCATCGCAAGTTTGAATAGCCTAATGGCGGATAGACAGAACTGTTGATTCTGATTTTGAACTGCCTAGACTGTCGCATACTGTTTGCTAGATCTAGATCTATGAGTCTAATATACTATTAGATTCAAAATCATGGAGCTCAAGCAAGCTAAATCTAATCACAAACAATGTTTTCGGCAAAATATTCTGAGGAGTTAAAAAAATTTGAAAGACTTGGTCATTTCATACTTGGACTCCTCACCATTCCTCACTCATATTGTGAGTGCGTATTTAGCCAAGTGAGAAAAATCAAAACTGATTTCAGGGGATCCCATAGCACAGACATGCTTGCTGGACTTCTGATCTTAAAGTCTGACTCCACCCCTTGTTTTGAGACAAAGTTTTCACCAGTGTTCCCCAAGAGGGCTAAAGCTGCTACTTTTGCTGCTACAAAAGTAGCAGTAAAGCCACAATAAACTGCTTCACTGGACTGACTGAGTGGCATTATCATTAATAATAATAAGCTGTGAAATTTTATTATGTCTAAAAGGTAAGCAGTACAATGTAGTTAGTGTATATATAAAAAAAGGGAGGGGGCACTATCACTTATCCTAACAGTGTGCGGTTTTTGATGAAGTAGCGTCACGCGTTGGGGTGTTCTAGTTTTGCATCTTGGAAAGTTGGCCGCTATGCTGCTGGTAACCGCTAGCCAACTTTATCGTTTAATTCCCAGTGTTAGAAACAGGGATGTAACTCCAGATGACTCTGTTGCTAGCAGAAAATATTGATTTGATAATGTCGTAAGGGCAGGGCAGTTCTACTTCAAAAGTTTGGAATTTTTGCGAGTTAAAAAAAAGATTAGATAAAGTGACTTTTCGCTGCCAGGCCCAACAGGCTGCAAAATTTTTTACATTTTTTTATCCTTAATGATGATCTCCGAGTCAGATTATAGATAAATATGACTGTTGAAGACGATTGCAATGTTTTGCATGACACCGATGATGATTTTGATGATAGTGGAAGAGGCAGGGGATCACCACTAGAGCTGCCAGAGGCTAAATGTACAACTGGATCTAATGATGCTTTGACTGCAGTGGAGTCAGTGATCACACACACGACTTTACTCATAGAGTTGGTCCTAAAGACCAGTGTTTTAACCTTTTCCCATTTTGTCGAGACTGTGCATCCATACATAACATTTTCAAAGTTCAATAAAAAATCTAACAACTATTAAAGACACAGTAAATAAAACAATGAGCCAACTGATTTTTTCTAGTATCTCGATTTTAATTCAGGATTCTAGGGAGGTACGAAAAAAAAAGAATTCAGGGTCTTACTTACTTGTTTTACATGTCCACTGTGTTGGGGTCACTGCAGTCGGAACATGTCCATCTCTGCTTTCCCCCCCTCTTCAGGATCCATCCCAAAGTCTGTCTGCTTATAGTCTCCATCATAATCTGGTTGGAGATCCGTTGGACTGGTCCGCACAGATGGCTGTGTTTCCCCTCTCCTCTTTGGATCCCCCTCTCCTTCAATCTACCTAGAGTGTGGGAACCGCTATCCGCCCTATTCTTCCTCAAATTTTCCCTTACCGTGGTTAGGACAGTTGATGGGTCCAGTGTCAAATTCCCTCCCACTTTTTGTCAGGGTTTTAAGGGTTGATTGGCTTGTTGAAGTTTTGCTCCCAAGTAGATCTTTTTTTATTATTTCATCAATTCATATTTAATTAGAAAGCTTTTGGCTTGCGATACCTCTCACATAGAGCTTCTTAAAAAAAAAAATGTTTCCTTTATGCACTTTTTTCTGAATTATATTTTTTAAGTGTAAAAACTTATTTGTAAATTCAGTGAGAAGTACTGGTTAACATTGCACCCTTTTTTAAAAAGGGAACTCAGATAGTATCTCAAATATTCAAGCATAGATCTAGATCTACTTCAACATTTTAGTAGCAATGGCTTTGATTTAACAGGTTTTTTTTCACAGAGTTGAGATTTTAAGGAATTTAAAGACTTATAGCATGATGTGATTTTTCTGTGTAATTTTTTAGAAGGAATAAATGTTTCTTTTAAAAAAAAAAGATTTCAGGTGTGGGTAAAGTGACAGAAAAGCTCTTGGGAGCTCTTGGTGTATCCATCTGCAGCGACCTGCACCTACAGAGAGGTGTGCTCTATCACCTGTTCTCACCCACATCTTTCCGTTACTTCATGAGGATATCCTTAGGCCTTGGCTCCACCTTGATAGAGAGGTGAGAATACTTTCACTTGGTTTCACTTAACCTCTGTATCAAAAGGGATCACATGAATAAAAATTATGTCCTGAAAATCTTGATTCTTTGTGGGTCGCAAAGATTTTCCGGGACCACCATGAAGCTTAAAACTGATGTTTGGGTTTTGTTTTACTGTTGAAATTGTGATGAGAATAAGACCTGTTGTTTTTTTTAATAGAACGTAGAAGAGAGTGTTCTGACCATACTTGGTTATGGAGCTTAATAGTTTGCTAGTGTTTAATGGTAGAAGGGAAAAAAATCAGAATTGTAATGACAGGTACTTTAGCTTGCTGTCTTGTTCCACCGCCACTGCAAGGCAAGTGGCCTGGTTAACATGGCAGTCAGCAGAGCTGAAAGTATATATTATGGGAAAAAACCCAGACCCAATGTCCACTGGCCCCTACGTAATTTTGCGTTTGAGATCACTGTCTTACTGTGTACCCCTCAGGGACGGCGAGAGAAAGAGCATGAGTACAGAAAGAACCTTCAACGAACTGAACCAGCCTGAGGAGCTGTACGAGAAGTGTAGAGAGCTGAGTCGTGCTCTGGCAGAAGACTTGCAGGAGGACCGCCTGGTGGTGAGTAGCGTGGTCGTACAGTCGAACCTGCTCTAATGACCACCTGTATCAGAAATTTACTTGTGTAAATGGCTACTTCCCATTTACCCCCTTGCATATTTTTTACAGTGAGATGGTCACTCTTCTAAGATGGCCTTTTTTCTCTGCGACAGTGAGGGGCCGGCCATCTTAGACTGTTCTGACTGTACTTGGATGTATGATGGCTGCACTCATGGAAGGACAGACATAAACTATTTTAGATAGCCATTACTTCCTTTTGGATTAGATATCATTTGTTGTGTTGCAACATGAGAAGCATCCCTGTATCAGTCTCTCTGTCTGATTGACTGTCTTACTTTAGAGGTGCTAAGACATAAAAAAATCCTGGTTTCTGTCCTTTCTGATTTGATCTGATTTGATGTTAAGAGAGCTGGGGTTTTTTATATTAAAAATAAATTAGTTGAATAAGTGATGCTTGAGTTTTAACCAATTGTGATTAAAGATATCTTGGCAGAGAAAGCGGAAACGGCTGGAGTATAACATCTATGTTGTCAGTGGACCTGGCACCTAAAGAACATTTTTAGAATAGTTATTCTACATATGAGGTTATGGATATCATACCTCTTTTGCTTATTTGTCATTAGAAGAATTTTTAAAAAGCAATTATTTATTTTTTAAAAACTTATTTATTATTTTTTTAAAAATAATTTTTTATTGCGTTCGCAGGGGAAAACAGTGACGTTGAAAATCAAGACCGTGGCGTTCGAAGTGAAGACCCGTAGCCATACTTTACAATATGACACAAATGATGAGAACAAAATATTCCAGGCGGCCAAACAGCTTCTGAAGACAGAAATGAAAGCTGAGGCTCCCCAGCCCCTGAGGCTCAGACTCATGGGTACTCAATCTTAACCTTGTCAGACTTAATCTCCCCATCTTAAATAACCTGTGCAAGTTGAGCATATCAAAGATCCCTTGGTGGTCCTAAAATTGATAAATGTAGGCTTTGGCCACCACCTGAGCTAAATTCAAAATTAATTCCTACCTAAACTGAAAGTACACTAGTCTGTATGAAAACATTTAGAGTACCTTTGAAATTGGAATGTGGCTGCCTGAAGGCTATAATTTTATAGGGTCTTCCATTTGCACTGAATGTGACGTTTAGAGCTGAGGGGTTTACTATTTTTAATGTATGACCAGGTTTTGTCTAGACACTTGTCTATTATTGGTGAACTGGAAATCTGGCTGAGTGTCTGATTCCTGGTAAATCGAGTATATGTATATGGTGCTTCGGCTTTAAGCCTTGATGCCTTTTATTAGTGACCACTCCCAAGTGTATTTTGCTGTGCTCAAAGTGATAATGTAGCAAGATCATTGAAAGTGACTGACTTTTTTAAAGAACTTTGAAATCGATACATTTTACTACCAATTCGTGTGAAAATTGTATAAAACCAGAAAATAAGTTTCAATCCCTTTTAGCACTTTGACATGATTTTTAAATTTACAATTTATGAGTTTTTGCCCTTCACTCCCAAGGCCATGTAATGACAGTTGCAGGTTCTTTCATTATTTCAACAATGTACACAGCATTTGGCTCTTCAGTCTATTGATTTGTGTGAATAGCAAGTTCTCTGTAGTTGTTAATTAAGTACCCTACTTTTTTTTCAGTGTCTTGTTTTAAGTGCTGGACTGTGGAATAGGTGACGATCCACTCATTCCTGTGAATGCTTATAAAGATGAAATTTTAGAAAGATTGTTCTTTGTTTCCATTCTGACAGAAATCTGTCTGATTTTATTGGATTTGCTGATAGCCTGTACTTTTTTGGGGGTGGCTTTATATTGTTTTGTCTTGTTGTGGGCACGTAGTTGAAGTATTCAGGGTTATTTAAGTGACAAAATACTGTGCGTCCTTGGCAGCCAGCATTGATGCCTAGACTTTATGTGGTCATCTTTTTGTGATGTAGAAGAAGAAAAGGTTGAAACCCAAAAGCATTTTTAGAATTCTGACTTTTGTCTTGTTGCTAAAGTTCTTCTATTTTTGTGTTCCAGGAGTGAGAATGTCCAAACTAAGTTCTGACAGTGGTCGTTGCACCTTGACCAGCATGTTCCAAAGGCAGATGGAGAAAAACTCGGTGACAGGGACGGCACCAGCAAAGGTGGATGTAGAAGACAAGCCATCTGACAGACTCGACTTAACTGGACTAGCAGGAACATCTGACGTGGTTGAGGGAGATTTTCACTGTATAGAGAGTACTGGAGATGATGACTGCGCAATAACCTCATCAGATTGTGATATGCAAAATGTAGAAAAGTGGGACCAAAATGATAATGGATGTAGTGAGTTTGATGTCAAACGTCTATTGGAAGCCAAGAGGCATACTGCAAAGAAAGGCAGCCAAGGGAAGGGTAAACAAACTGTGAGCATTCTTAACTTTGTCCGCAAAGCTGACGAAAAACAAACTCCTAAAGTTTGTGATGAAAGTGAAGATAGCAGTTGCAGTTTATTTGAAAATTCAAAGTCGGAGGCAGTTGTTGTGATTGATGGGGAATATGAGGAAGCTGTTCCTGAAAGAGGTGATATTCTTTTTGCAAAAGTCCCTTCAGAAGCTGTTCCAGAGTTTACCAATGAGGAGCCAGACCTTGTGCGTTGTCCTATCTGTTGTCAGCAAAAGAGAAACTGGCCTCTAGATTTGTTCAATGACCATGTGGACCTGTGTCTCAACAAACAAACCATCAAGGATATTTTACAAGATCAAGAGTCTCAGATGGCTTCGACATCGTCCTCAACCCCCTCTGACTTGAATATGACTACCAACAGGAAAAGGTGAGAATATATTTTGATTACAATAAAGTGCGTACATAGTGAATTCTTTTTGACATCGGCACTGATGCTTTGGTGTTTATTTTCAGCACAGTCCCTTTAGCCCAATTTCTGTCAAGTGCCTATGAGATCGGCATTTTCTTTGCCACCAAACTGTTACTGCAGTTTCCGAAAGCGGTCCACACGAACCCTGGAAATACCAACGCTGAACGAATGTGCTCTAATTTTAGAAAGAAGGACCTCTCGTAGTTACCAGAACTTTTTTTGAGCAAGAGGAATAAAAAAGATTGTCCGTTATTTGTCTTAGAGCCCCCAATGTCTGTGACTCTACAGGTCGGTGAAAATGGCTTTGTCTGGTCCTCAGCAGTTTCTGAAAACGGTTTTGGTGAACCCTGGATACTCCGATGCTGAAGGGAAGTGCGCTAACTTTAAAAAGAATGACTCCTTTTAGTTATTAGAGCTCTTTTTGAGCCAGGGGAACTCGAAAGATTGTCTGTTATTTGTCTTCGAAACCCCGGTGTGTGCGACTCTGCAAGTCGGTGAAAATGGCTTCGTCCGGTCCTCGGCTCAGAAGGTTTGCACTTTTACTTAGAAGAACCCATATAAAGTATATTTTTGGAAAGCCAACACCGTGAAGATTTCATTTGTATGCAACAGTTTTCTTAACAGGAGGAGCTACCCATGAGGACCATTTTCTATGTTTGTTGCCCAAGATCAAATCTGAGTACACATATAAGTTAGGCAAAGTAAAATCTATTGATACGCAATTTTATTTTGGCATAGCTACAGCAGTTGCTATGGAAACGGCCGCCATCTTGAAAATAAACAATGAATTTCAAATCCAGAAGGCTTTCTTATTTACTGACGAAATTTGGTGAGAATATACCTGAACCAGACCCTATCAGAGTAACAGCAAGTTTTTTTCAATAAGTGCAAAAGAAAAAAAAAAGAGAATTTTCACAAAGTATAAAAAACGTTTTCTAAAATTAGGTTGCGTAATCACTTGCCAATGGAAAAGTGTTATTGCTTTTGCAAATATCTCTTAGTTACATTGATGGCAGCCTTGCCATCCATGTTTCCTGAAAGTTTCATGTCTAAAGTACAAAAACTAAGGAAGGACTTGGGAAAAAAAAACTGCAAAAAAATAACATTTTGCGAAAAACGACAATTATTGTGAAAATTCACTATATTAATCCATCCTTATGTTTTAAAATGCAATTTACGAGAAGAATAAACACTTCCTCAATTGTATCCATGCTATTTTTAGACAAAAAATGGTTGATCTTAAAAAATCTGCCAACATAAAATTTGCATAGCCTGACTCAAAACCTGCAAAATCAAGGGTCGCTCCTTCCCTTAAGAACATTAATTTTGGGAGATCCCAAGTCATGTAACTGTTACTGTTTGACTATGGCGGCCATCTTGGGTTTTAAGGGTCACATGACCTTGCCGAAATGTCAAAATAATAAATTTTGTCAGCGTGTGATATAACTTTTTTAAAGAGCTTTCCAAATATATATAGTTTTCTTGTCTTTGTATTTGTCCAATGTACTCATTTCTTACGTTAAAAGTGGGTGGTTGGCGGGTGTTCTGGTGTGGTTTACTTCTTCTTTCCTATCAAACCTCTATCCTTTTTATCTCCCCTCCTTCTTTTTTGTGTTTGTTACTCTTTTGTAACACCTCTAATCTTTGGCACTTATATGACCTTATTGTGTTGCAAGTGCAGTAAAACATTTACTAAAACTAAACTTACGTTTAAAGTAATTAAAGATGCACCTTTGTTCCTAAGACCTTCCCAGGTGCAAGTTTGCCACCAACAGTAATAGGGTTAATGGAATCATAGTAAAGTTTGGTTAATAAATACTTTTCTTTTTTATGTTAGTAAATCGTAAGTGGATCAAGTGTTCTTTTGTGTACTCATTGTGGAACTGAAAAAGCATTGGAATATAGGCCTACCTTGATAATTAAATATTCTTCTAAAATTCCAGTGATTTGTGAAATGGCCATTGTGCATACAATTAAGTTGCAAGTGATGTTAAACTCTTACTTAAACTATAAGTGCTGCAAAGTTAAACTTTGACAGGGATGTTTATGTAACTGCTACATTATTTTATTTTTTAAGTGTCTAAATTACTTTATAGGCCAAGGCTAATATACTTCCTCAGAGCTATGTAATCATCATCCTGACTGTACATTGTTGTTATCGATCAGGTGACTGTACAATGTGAATCATAATTTGATGAATCAGATGCCCGATACGATAAATACATGTTTCTGAGACCACACCTTTCTTGTCGATTTTTGTCCTCATAGTTTAAAGGCTTCTTTATAAGGAAAGAAAGAAAGAATAGAAATACCATTAAAAAAAATTTTTTTTGGGGTAAGTGTTTTACGGCGCGCGCAACTGCATAAGGTCATATGAGCGCGTGGGACACACCTAATACTTTTAGTTGGTAGGAAATTTTGAATTTTTCCCGGGTGGCGGCCGAAGCCTACTCTTATCGATTTTAGACCACCAAGGGATCTTTAACGTGCGCAACTTGCACACGGGCCCTCCGAGATTTTTTCGCCTTTGTCCGAGAAGGCTAGGTGTAGATCTTTCCTAGCAGAAGATCAGGGGTGCGGCAGAAAGACAGCTGTGAGGAGTCAAGGAGTAGCAGTAGAAAGGCTGCAGAAAGAGTCAGGAGCCCAGAGGAGGGGGCAAAGGAGGTGAGGGGGTGGGGGCAGAAAGAGGAGACGAAAGCAGACGACACAATATTGCTTGAGAGCAGGAAAGTAGGTGAAAGGAGACAATTTTAGAGAAGAAAAATTTTTCGGTCGCTACCCGGATTCGAACCCGGGACCTTTGAATGAGAGGCCAACACCTTAACCTCTAGGCCACGAGAGCCCCCTATACCATTTTATGTCCTTATAGAAAATTACAATGGGATATACAAAGGTGTACATGCAAAATACTATTCCTAACCATTGTTGGCTGCTGCAGTGTGGCTCACTGTTTTTATGCAGGGTTAATTAATGCATCTTGTACTTGCTCAAGAGCATATACCCCAGCGACCTTCTGTCTATCAGCCATTGTCACCTGATACTGTTTGACATTTTTGTGTGACAGAGTCCACTCATCATTTGACATTAGAAACTTTCCTGCTGGTTTGGATATCTGCTTTTTTTTGTTTGTTTTTGTAATTGATCAAGAGATGCATGATCTTTCTCTCCCAGAGTATATGCCATGAAGTGATAGGAGAACATTCTCTTCTACTTCTACTTTTGTGTAGTTGTATTGTTGCCTTGTCTCTGTGTCTGGTGTCAGAGGGAGACAGGTAGCTCAGATGTCATTTTGCACTGAGCAGTGGAAAAGGTGATGTTTTCCTGTTTTGTATCAGTGGTCACGTGATACGCTCATTAATCAGAAGATGAAATAATACATATGAACTCATTTTATATATATATATATTATTCTTTCTTACTTTTTCGTTCCAGACAAAAGCAGGATGTCCAGCTTCCAAGCCAGAAAAAAGGGGTCAAGCGATCTAAGGGCCAGTCAAGTTTGTTGTCTTTCTTCAAATGACCTTTGACTATAGTATGAGAGCAATACTTTTGTGTGATCTTTTCAACATATGCATCGTAAGGTCTGTGTTCAACTTAAAGTGGATGTATGTGAATGCAAAATTGTGCCATATTGTGTTCATTTTTGTCATAAATCTTATCCCTACAGCTATTAGGTTAAGTCTGTGACCTACTGACTTAACTGCATTAACTGTACAATGCTGAATTTGTTTGAGTGAGTGAGAAGCCTGTGACAGAGTTTGAATGTACAATATAATGACTGTGGGTGGTCAAAATCCATTTGAAAAATGAAGAATGTTCTTGTAGAATAAATTTTGACTCTGTTTGAGTTGGACTCTTGAAACTAGCATGATTTTCATTTGTCTTTATAGGTGACTTTTTTCTTAAGTAGTGCACCATATCTAAGGGCATGTCTTCTGTGGAAGAAGGAGCTTTTTCTGCTTTACTGGCAGCGTAAAAAAAAAAGTAGGCCCTACACTTACTAAGTTACAGTACAGTTCTGCTGTCTGACAGTATTTGATGAGTAAAGTACACATTGCAATGTTTTCTTGATCTCTCTACTGACCCATATTTGTTGCAAAGCTCACAAATTAAAGAGGAGAATAATAATAAACATAGAGGAGTTTGCTTTTGCTTATAATTTTAATATATATGATTCATGGCCCAAATGGGATGGTTAAAAAAAAAGTTTTTTACCTGTAGTTGTTTGATGCCCCAATTAGCGCAAATGGTATGATTGATACTATTATGTCAACTTTAATTCAAAATTTCTTTACTCTACTGTAACTAAAAAAGACACGAGGAAAGAGAAAAGCTTTGCTGTTTGCAGGCCAATTTTTTTCTGTGATATATATATATATATAGTAACAAATTAAAACATGTTTAATGTTAAGATTTGGAATTGTTCATCTGTGCATCATATTAGAAGTTAAAAAGAAACAAATAATTTTATTTTTCACATTGACAGCCTGCTTTTTATTTACCATCTGTGACTCATGTATTATCAAAAAAAGGAAAGATTAGAAAAGGTATATATTTTTACTTAAGGTCCAATATTTGAACAGAAAACAGCAAGGCTAGTTTGCTTCTAAACACTTGGTTGAATTCCTTTAAAGTTTGATCTATGAAAGCGGAGGTTTAAATTAATAGTTTAGGAAAATGAATGAAATCTTTACCTTAGGTGTCCAGTAATTTGGAGGGTTTTTTTTTTGTTGTTGTTGTTCATTTTGACATGCAGTGCAAATGTTGGCAATGTATTATCTCTTTGAGCTAAGCCCTAGGGCCAACTCACACTTGTTAATTGAATCTGAATCTGGTTAATTCAATAATTGGTCTTGAAATCAACAAATTCTGAAGCGTGCTGAAAAAATGAGTTACGTCTCGGATTCGAGCCCAATTTATGAGTATGAAATAATGAAAGCAGGCATGTTATACTTTTAAAGAAAATCAATCAATTTGACCCTAGTGTTGATTTTTGGCCAGTATCTCCATTTGTAGATAGCAAGAAGTAACTCGTTTTGTCAGCACCCCTCTCATTTTAGAATACAAGGTTCTTTGGTTTATCTCTTATTTTGTTGTGTGTGGCAGAAAACACGTATAGTACATCATGAGAACACATTTTTTCCTATTTATGCACACTTCTATTTTTTATTATTTGGTGATCAACATATTTGTGATACTTTTCTTTATTATGTTTGTTATGATTAAATAAAAAATGTGCCATTCCAATATCCAAGATTACTCCTCTGTTTTGTCACTCTACTTGTTAGGTTGGGGGTTTTTTTGGTAAGTGTTTTACGGCGCTCGCAACTGGATAAGGTCATATAAGCGCGTGGGGCACATTCAACTTTTTAAGTTGGTAGGACGTTTGAATTTTGCCAGGGTGGCGACGGAAACCTGCTCTTATCGATTTTAGACCACCGAGTTATTTTTAACGTGCGCAACTTGCACATGGGCCCTCCGAGATTTTTCGCCTTTGTCCGAGAAGGCAAGGCGTAGATCTTTCCTACCAGAGGATCAGGGGTGTGGCTGAAAGACAGCAGTAAGGAGGAGCCATGGAGTAGCAGTAGAAAGGCTGCAGAAAGAGTCAGGAGCCCAGAGGAGGGGGCAAATGGGGTGAGGGGGTGGGGGCAGAAAGAGGAGACGAAAGCAGACGACAGAACATTGCTAGAGAGCAGGAAAGGAGGTGAAAGGAGACAATTTTAGAGAAGAAAATGTTTTGGTCGCTACCCGGATTCGAACCCGGAACCTTTGAATGAGAGGCCAACACCTTAACCTCTAGGCCATGAGAGCCTCCTACTTGTCTGTGCAAGATTGTATTTTGCTTGATATATATATATATATATATATATATCCGTTTCCCGTTACCCTCATTCTATTTAGATGAGAAGCATGGTGCAAACATCATGCTACATTGTAGGCCTACTAGACCGTCATTGTGTACATCCAGATTTACTCAGCGCGGTTACTGGCGCACGTTTTCTCGGTATCAATATCAACTGAAAGATTGATCATAAAATCAGACGCCTCAACTAAGTTCTATTAATAATTACATCATGTTATCTCCTAACTCATTTGCCGAGAGATTGATCCTGAAATCAGACGCATCGGCAAGCCGAATTCTATAGGCCTATGTATCACCGTTGCCCTTGCCTGAATGATTAACTTTGACCCCGAGCTCTCCACAGATACCATTATTAATAGTATTATAGTGTTAAAGTAAAGTTTATCCCAAGGTCACGTCGTGATGGTCCACTTCTCGAGATTTGTATAATGTTGGTAATCAGCCGTGAGTGTGTGTGTGTGCGCGCGCGCGCGCGCACTCCTGAGGTGATAACAAGATGTCGCAACACAGTGACGGAGCGGCTTATAAATCCTTTCTTTGCAGTCTCTACAGACTACTACAGGCAACAATATCATCCAGGCTCTGGCCTAATTAGCCACGTGATCTATCGTCACAGGACTCAGAATAAATACGCAGTCATGGCAGCGAACACCATGACGTGTTGTGGTGAAACAGCACCTACTATAAATATATACTAACGTATTTACCAGGTACGGATTGAGCTATACCGCAAATCTCGGTTCTGGCAATACTGAGTTTATTTTGTTATAAAAGAGGGTTTTGCAGAAACCATAGCTCGGAGTAGCAAATTCTCCCTATATATAAATTAGGGCAGATTACCTTCTCTAACTTATCTGCCCCTATGGTTTTATGCACCCCGCATAATTTAGCCAAATCTGATCATTTTTTGCATAATTTCTGATTATTTTCCTTTATTATTCTTTGTTCAAATTAACAGAATCGCATAATTTCACATTTTTGGGCTCAGTTTGCATAATTTCAGAATTTTTCTTGCATAAAACGACGGGGACAGACTTATAGAGTAAGCGATCTATGACTTTTACCGGAATTTACCGTGGGTCTGGTATATATGACAATACATCATGTACGGTACACAAGTCTGTTTCCTACCCAAATCCCCCGCGGTGTTCCCTCTTGTCTTACAGTTTTGATCCGAATTGGGAACCCCCCGCCCCAACCCAACAACTCAGAGGAGATTGAGGCTAACGGCTTCATGATGATGTCTGGAGAAAAACCCGGACTGTTGTGATCACGTTTTGTAGCCAGGGGTCGTTGTCCGTTTTCAATACAGCTTAATTAACTCAAAATGAAAGTACGGGACAGAAAGGAGTCTATACTAGGCCTACTTTACACACGGAAGTATTAGGAGTAGATATAAGAAGACAACGATAGCGCGGTCAAAGACAGGTCTGCACAACCCAGCAAGAGGTTTTTCTGAAAAATTGTTGTTCTTATAATGTTCATTGTTATATATGTAATGCATACACAGTGACTAAAACTAAACTATGTATACCCCCACCTCACCCACCCCAGGAAAAGAAAAGAAAAGAAAAACACAAAAACATTCAGATTCAAGAGATAGCCCATATAATATACTCGTATTTGTAAAAACTCTTACTAAAACATAAAACATAAAAGAATTTCTCTTATTTTTATCTTGGTCTGCTAGCAAATACATGTAGCTAGATGGACTGCCACTTATAATAGGCCAACCAACATGTGTGTTTCCACCCGTCTGTTTCTTTGTTTGTGTAAGTGTGTATGCATGTGAGTGTGTGTGTGTGTGTGTGTGTGTGTGTGTGTGTGTGTGTGTTTGTGTGTGCGCTCTCTGGATGTGTTGTTTTTGTGTTTGCACACCAGGTCTATTTCTGTTCGTCGTTTTGTGTTTTCTGGTTTGAATGATCGTGTTAAGTGTACAGTATTAAAGCTCTATAATGTTCTTTAAGCCACAACTTTAAAACTTACCCCCTCCCCCCAAAAAAACCCAACAACCAACCAACAACAAAAATACCCCCAATAAAAAACAAGCAAAACAAAACGGTACCAAAATCCCAGCTTTTTCTTGGAACATCCGACACAAAAGACATTATTGTTATTATTTAGCTTTCAGCGCTAGAGGCCATCTGTCTTTCCCATTGGGGGTGGCACGCTCGTTTTAGATCGAGGAGGAGTTGAAATCCTATTACTATTACTGAGCGTTGAAAAAAAAAAGAAAACGAGACCTCGGGACAGTGGCTTGTTTTGATCGATGATAGCGCTCATACTCATAACAAACGAAATGAAAAGTTGGTAGTAAGGAACAAGTGACTAATACTAATTAAAAATAAGAGAAATTGTTTTATGCTTTAGTAAGAGTTTTTACGGCACTTGCAACGCAATTAAGTCATGCAAATGCCAAAGATTGCAGGTTTTTATAAGAGAGTAATAGACACAAAAAAGGAGGAGAGACAAAGAAGACATATTTTTGATAGGAAAGGAGGAAACCACACACCAGAGCACCCATCCAACTACATGTACCCACGTAAAAAGAAAATTAAAACCTTACGTGAAGCTAGATCCTAATGATTTGGCAATGGTAAAGGGCTCTAATCTTTTGACCAAGTATGTGAAAACTGCAAGGCAGTGGTGTTTCTTGCTTAGGGGTCTATACTTCGTACACATCCATATATGCATATCTTTTAGTTTGATAATAATAATATTATTATGAGGTACGTCTCATTAATAAGTTTTCTTCCCTGTGACTCCAAAACTATTTTACATAGAAAGCTGGAATTTAACGGTGCCATAAAAGTACACATGTATGTAACATACTTCTATGACAATATTTAAGACCACGGGATGGATAAAGGCTGGGTAAAGCGGTACCTTTTCGATGCATAGTACCCAAATCGTGGCTGCCAAGTGTCATTAGTGTCAAGCTCAATTGAATGTATCTCTTCAGTGTGTAATCGAAGTTAGAGGCCTTGCATTTACTTGCAGATTTACGAGCAACGGTAGAAAATACTTGATGTCATATACCGGTCCCCACATAGAAGGTCACTGAATGCTTAGAGAAGGAATCCAGCCTTGGAAACTTATAAAGTTCGCTAGTGAACATTGTAAGAGTTCCTTTGTGGCTGCTGTATCTTACAAATACATGTACATGCAAAAGGAAGGTCAGTAGAAATAGTATAATTTTCTACAACCTGCACTGTGACTGCAATTGTAATTACACGGTCGTCTAGAGTTCATTCCTCAGAAGAAATCGGGGGGTGTACTATGGACTGCGAATTTATTGATTTAGCCTAGTTTGCTGGATCCCGGACGCTGGAAGCTTTATGGGGGAGCGGAATGGGTTTCTATAACATGTTTTATGATTGTATTTTACGATAGGTGTTTAGCGTTTTATAGGTTTCTTTGAACGGCAAGACTCTATTTAAACTTAATTGGCACGGTGGGTCGTTACACTTTCAGCATTATTTAGAATTTTATATATTTTGTCTTTACCTAGCTGTAACCACTAACACAATATTGTGTTTTATTAGAGATGGTAACATTTTATTTACATTTTTGCCTAGCTAAACTCTCTCCATACGTTATAGGGTTCTAAAACGCTGAAAGCTTCTTTATTTCTTTGTTTTTCTTATTGTTTTAAATAATTTATGCGGTCGGTCGTTACACTTTTAGTATTGGTTGGAATGTGATATATTTTGTCTATTCCCAGTTGTAGTCACCAACAGTTGTTTTTTTGTGTTTGACTTTAGGCGCTTGAATTTTATAAAGTTCTTTGCCCATCAAAACTGGGTCCATACGTTATTATGTACTGAAGAAAGCTGAAAGCCTCTTCATTTATTTTTTCAACTTCAGTTTTGTGCATCTTGCACGGTCGGTCGTTACACTCTCAGTATTGGATATTAAATTAATAGTTTTAATCCATACTAAAGTTGTAATCACCAACACATTATTGAACTTTACCATAGGTACTAGCAATTTAATGACTACTTTGCACTGAAAACTCGACCCAAATCAAAACGTTCATGGGTTAGCTGGATGCATCGTTATATCTTTATCCCCCTACTGTTTTCAGTAACTTGTGCGGTCGGTCTTTTCACTTTCAGTATTGTCAGAATGTGATATATTTTGTCTGTATCTAGTTGTAACCACTAACACATTATTGTGTTTATCATAGACGGTAGCTTTTTAAATGCTTTATTGCCTGGCTAAACTGTCTCCAAACGTAAAGGTGTTCTGAGAAGCTGAAAACTACACTTAGCCTTCTCGGAAAAGGGCGTAAAATATCGGAAGTCCGGTGTGCAAGTTGTGCACGTTAAAGAACTATTGGTGGTCTAAAATCGATAAGAGTAGGCTTCAACCGCCACCTGGGCAA